AAATAGTATTTAATAAATGAAGGTACTTGTTTAATTCATTAAGTAAAAAAGATAAAAGGGTCTTGGATTACTAAAGTATTTGTGAAAAACGGTTAAGGGGGGGGGGGGGGTACATTTCTGTAAACTTGGTAAGAAAAAGATGAATCAAAATGCATTACGAACATTCTACACTGAAATTGTGGCCTAGACCCAAGTGAGCAATCACCAAGTCCTGTCACCACTGGCATGGCCATTCTTGGCCATGATGTTCAAGTCAAGACTTAGCTTCCTATCTTATGCGGTAAGGGTTTTTTCTTAGCATCTTTTATCACAATGTTCTGTGAGGATGAGACAAAGAGAGTGACTCAGAGCATGTTCAGTACTCACCCCTCCCAGCACGAGCCCAGGCTTGCAGGTATTTGGCCTTCCTCTCCTGAGAGTCCCCACCTCCTTATAGGACTCCCAAAGCCTGGAGAAGCCCAAGCCTAGAGCAGAGGTGTGGCTGTCACTGTCCCTGTGCCTGTCTGACATCTAGCCAAGACCTCATTCCCCGGTCAGCCCTGCTCCCTGAGACTATCTACCCCATGGTCTGCTAGAGTGTTGGGAATAACAAGAAAATCCTAGCTGAAGCGACCATATTAGAACTGAAGTTTATAAGCAACCAACGTGGCTCCTACTATCCTGAGGACAAAATTTTTTTAAATGGCAAGAAAGAGGACTTGACTGTTCCTGGAATTATGTATGTCTGTCCTCTTCAGACCCTAAAGGAAGGCTCCCCCAAAGGAAGGCTGGGGTCACTGGGCTAGTTATAATAAGCAGAAAGCCAAGGGGGTGAGCTTTCTGAGGTCCTCAGCACTGAAGGGTCCTCATCTCATTTCTTTGGCAAGGGAATGGCATGGTGAAGCCAAGTTTCAACTTCCAGCTCTACTGACATCACTGCAGTCTTGAAGCTCCCCTGTAATCTGTAGCTACAGGCAGGAAAATGCCACACAAGGCAGCCTACATGAAGGCAGGAGGTTAGCTTGAGTCCCTGCCCTAGAATGCCTTGATATGGATGGCAACATGGAAACCAATGACCAGGGACAGAACCATGGACAAGACTCCTGAGACCCAAGCTGCCTGGAGTCACCTTTAATGATGTCATGTGTTTCCAGTTCCTTTCAAAATTAACAGAACATGAGTGGAGGAGCTGGAGCACAACCTGGAGACAAAGCAGACCCCTTAAAGATGGTAGAGCCTTCCACATCACGTTCCAGGCCTCCTCTAGCCCCACCCTGCTTTCTCTTCCTGGAAGCTTTGATCCTCACAGGCCCTCCAGGGAGAATCTGCCAGACCTGTAGTCTGAGACCCTTTATAGGGACCAGGAGACCCTTTTCAGGTTACAGGTGCACCTCCCCAGCATAGCTGCCTTATCCTAGGGGTGGGGCTGGTAAGTCACATATCAGACTCCACACAGTGTGTTATCTTTTAATGAAGAGCTTTGTCGGTGGGTCACCTTTCTCTCCAAGGCTCCCCTCCAGCAGATGTCCCTCACCACTGGCCACCTTGGAGGCAGGGTGGCCAAGGCACCAACCCTGCTGAGGCATCAGTTGGCAGCAGCATTATCTCTCAGACCTTGGAACTGGCAGTAGGGAACAAGGACAAAGGAAGCTAAACTGAGGTCAAAGAAGATGGATGAAGAGGACAGGAAGTATGAGTGTTCTCCTCCTTCCTCTGATTCCTGATGGGACACAGGCCAGTGTTCAGGAACAGAGTCTCCCCAGGGGCCTGGAGAGCCTTCCAGCCACACTCTGGAAGCCCTTAGTCCCCAGCTCCCTGTAGACTGGCGTCACACAGGAAGTCACTCACAGGGTCACTGGGCTTGGGGCAGGCCAGGCACTACCCAACAAGTCTCTAGTCCCTAGGCCTGAAAGGTGGGTCCAACAGGGCCAAGGCTAGAACCACCAGAAGACTGGGAGCCACCTTCTATTAACTATGCTTGTCAGTTACTACAGGCATCTACGAAGGTGGTCTCTCCCTTGAGGTTCCAGGGCTGCCTGGGAGGCACTAAGGAAACAGCAGGCCAGAATTCCCAGATCCCTATAGATCTGTGACCTTGTTTTCCACAGCAGCAGCGATCTGCTGGAGCCGGTAGCCCAGCTGCATTTTCTGGGCTGTGCCATCCTCCTCCAGGGCAGTGATGATCTGAAAGGCAGACAGCAACAGTATCAAGGGAGACTTCTCTGGCCCCTACTATCACTGTAGGGGTGCTTCCACAGGCCTCCTAAGATGCTGTATCAGTTGTGGGTAAACCCCAGAGAAACTCAGCAAATCGTATCACTTTCTGTCCAGGGGGCCTCAGGGCTGCACTGGCAGAGGTGAAAATGAAACAAAGGTGCTGTGGATTGCTTTTCTGTTTTTTGTTTATGAGACAGGGTTTCACTAGACAGCCCAGGCTGGCCTTAAACAATCCCCCTGCCTCAGCAAGGGGATTCTCCAATTCTCCAACATTGGGACTAACTACAGGTGTGTCCCCCCATACACAGGTGTTCTGACATACTTTCCTTAGTGCTTAGCACTCCTTCCCTGGGAAACATTCTGAGTAGAAGCCAGCCTCACACACCCACTGACCTTCCCACAAAGCCCTCACTAAGGTCTGCTGCCGCCATCCCCACTCATCCACTTGCCAGCCAACAGTATTTCCTGATTCTATGTGCCAGGCACCAGGCAGAGAACAAAGACTCAACCATGATCAGACAAATGTGGTTTGGGAGACAGATACTGAGGCAACACAAACAACTACAGAACCACAAACGCAGTTGCCTCAAAGAGAACAGGTAGAAAACAGGAGGGAACTAGTGCTGGGGAAGAGGTGCCATCTCCTCGCTCCATGAGGGGGGTGAGACTGCATCACTCCTGTTTGCCCCATGTTCCGGCTCACACACACCATGCTGAACAAGGCTGCAGTGCCTGGACTCTACACTCGTGGATCCATTCACTGTTACCCTAGCATTGGTCCAACAGGCTGTGGGCCACACGGCAGGCTCCTCTACACTGAGCAGTGACAGCTATGTCAACTGGTGCCACACAAATGTGGCAATTCCATTACTTGTAGATTGACTAAAGGGTATTCAGATTGTCAGGCCCTGCCCAGGAATCCCCCAGAAAGCCTTTCCCTGGCTTTGCTGTACCGTCATCCACCCTGATCCTGTGCTTGGACCTTCTGTTCCTTTGGTTCATGCAGTCCCGCCCAATCTGTACTCACAGAGCCACCCTTGGAATCTAGGAGGGACTGAGTGAGGATACAGTCAAGACAGCAACTAGGTGGACCTCTAGCAAATCCCACATACCATCTTGACACTAGGCACCCCCAAACACTACCACCATGTCTGGTAGCCCTGTTCCAGAACCAGGATGGTGGAGACAGGAAGTACAGAGCCAATATCACTAAGCATGCCCATGGGACAATTCCTACACTGTTCCTGGGAGGCCCCCCCAAAGGCCCCCTAACCAAGTCACCAAGCAAGATCCCCTCACATCCATCCCCCCCCAGCTTCACAAATGTACACTGAGATCAGCCTCCCAATCAGGGTCTAGGGCATGCTCACCTGGTCATAGTATTTGTTGATATACTTGTAGAGTTCGTGCAGAGCCACTCGTGCCCCAAGGTCACCAGAGTAGTTCTAAGAAAGTGAGCAGATGAAAGGTGAGAGAAATGAGGGGTGCAGCTGTCATGGGAAAGGGCCAAGGACCCTATGAGAGTGTGAGAGGAGGCCTGAGAAGAAGGAGTGAGTCCTACAGTTGGGAAGCAGAGTCTCTCCACAGGCCACGGACCCAGAGCTAAGCATGACTAACTCATGGCAGGACAGGGTTAAGGACTCCATGGCAGGAAGAAGACTCCAGGTCTAGTTTCAGCAGGGCCTGGGGTTTCCACAGGGACTCTGCCTCTCTCTCCCAGGCAAGCTGGAAATCCCTACCATTCCAAGTGACCACAAAGCCAGTGGGCCACAAAGCCAGTGGCTCTCATCTCAAGTGTTTCCTGAGGTCACTCCCAGGCCCTTCCATGGGGACATCTCTTCCTCAGCTTCCTTGTCTAAACAATGGTGTTGATGTAACTTATGGAGCTCTTACAGGAACCAAATGTAATAAAGCACCAATGAAGGACTAATACATAGCTGTCCCCTAAAAGTACAGCTGCTGTAGTCATCATCATCGTAATCATTGAAGAAAACATTGTCCGTAAATTCCTACATTTTCTACTTGGGGACTGTAGGTGAAACATACTGTCTTAATGAGCTTTAACCATCAACTTGACAGTTTAGAGTCACTTAAGAAGAAAGTCTCAATTGAGGGATTTCTCAGATCAAATTGGCCTATGGGCATGTCTATTGGGAACTGTCTTGACTGTTAAAATTGATGCAGGAGGGCCTAGTCCACTGTCGGTGGTCTAGGGTTATATAAGAAAGCTGACTAAGCCAGACACGGTGGTGCATGCTTTTAATTCCAGCACTGGGGAGGCAGAGGCAGGTGGATTTCTGTGAGCTCAAGGCCAGCCTAGTCTACATAGTGAGTTCCAAGCCAGCTGTGGCTACCGGGAGACCCTGTCTCAAAAACACCGAAAAAAAAAAAAAAACTGGCTAAAGTCAGGCATGATGGTGCACTCTTTTAGTCCAGGACCCAGGAGTCAGTGACAGGCTGGGCTCCATGAGTCTACAAAGTGAGTTCCAGGCCAGTCAGGGCTACATAGTGAGACCCTGTCTCAAAAAAACAAGCAACAAAAAGAAAGAAAGAGAGAGAGAGGAAAAAAGGAAGGAAGGAAGGAAGGAAGGAAGGAAGGAAGGAAGGAAGGAAGGAAGGAAGGAAGGAAGGAAGTCGGGAAGGAAGAGTGAGAGAGGGGCTGGAGAGGTGGCTCAGTGATTAAGAGCACTCGCTGATCTTGCAGAGGATCCAAGTTCGGGTCCCAGCACCCACATGGCAGCTAACAACCATCCATAGCTCCAGTTCCAGGGGATCCAACGCCCTCTTCTAACCTCCATGGGCATTACACAAGGGTGCACTTATATACATGCAGGCAATATACTCATACATATAAAATAAAAGATAATAAATATATTTTTTAAAAAATAAATCAACCAGACAGTAAACAGGTCCTCCACAGATTCTGCTTCAAGTTCCAGTTTGAGTTCCTGCCTTGACTACCTCTGATGATGGGCTATAACCTATAAATTGAGATAAACCTTTTCCTGCTCTAAGTTTCTCTTGGTTATGGTATTTGTGACATTCACAAGCCAAATAGCACAGAAGTAGCAGGAACACAGGCAGGTAGACCCCAAAAGGCCTAGAACTAAATCTCAGCACTCCATAGAGCCCAACAAAGGCTGCAGCAATTCAAGCACCAGGCTAGGTCAGATTAGGTGACAGCTACCAGGACATGATTCCTGCTCTCTTTGTGAGGAGATGCTGGGAGCCCTAACCTGCAGTAGCAATTGGAACACACTACCTCTATGATGATGGTGTGTGTCCTGTCCCAGCCAGCTCAGAGGGCTACAAGGGTGCCAAGGGCTTCCCTATAAAGGAGTGGTATAAAAGGGGCAGAGCCCTCACTTCACCCACCCTATGCCCACTCCCAAAAAGCAGAGGGAAGCCTTACCCGAGATAGCTCGGCCAGGACAGAGTTCATCTCTTGATCACTAGCTGGGACGGTCTGTCTGATGTCTGCATAATACCTGCCAGAAAGTCCAGTATGGCAGCCGCTAAATAAACAAGCTCACTCCCTCGGGCCTCACCAGGTCCACCCAGGGCCTCAACTGTACACACACCCCAACTCCTCCCCAAACCCACTCCCTTCCCCAGTACCTCTCTACCATCTGTTTGTAACGAGGAATATCCCGAGCATACAGAAGCTTGTTGATTGGGGAGTCCTGGGTGCAGGCAGGAGGGTAGCAAAAAAAGAAGGAAGGACAAGAGCTCATTTGGGTGATCAGCTCCCTGGGCTTCCCAGCACCAGTTTTATAACTAAAAGTCTCACATCCCAGGAACCCCCAAGTTCCCAGCAAACCAGAATAGTTGATTACCCTAGCCTACTTCCTTGATTTTTTTTTTATCTGTTTTGTTATTGGTTTTATGTGTGTGTGTGTGTGTGTGTGTGTGTGTGTGTGTGTGTGTGTGTCTGTAGAGATCAGAGACAACTTTCAGGACTTGTTCTCCCCTATCATATGGGTCCCAGGGAATGAACTCAGGTTGGCCATCTTGCCATTGCTGAGCCATCTCACTGACCCATTTTTGAGACAGTTCTCATTATATAGCCCAGGCTGGCCTAGAACTCGTAATCCTCCTGCATCAGCTGTACTGGGATTACAAGTGTGTACCACCATACTTGGCTGGCCTAACTCCTCCAGGAATCTCCCCTACTCCCTCCCCTCTACAAAGTTTAGACTCTGAGGTCCTCAGCTAAGGTTCCTCACTGTTATTCTGAGGCTGTGCCTCCACCAAGAGCTGCCATGCATGATGTCTGATTTTCTGTACAATCATTTTAACAATCTTCAAAGTGTCTGTTGCTCCAGACCACCTTATGCCTAAGTGGCTGAGCTAGGATTTAAAGTAGGTCTCTCAAGTCAGAGTGCACAGTTTTAACACATCCAGACACAGCCTCTACCACACTGGGCCCAGGGCAGCATGCTTCTGCTTTTGGAACTTCTGCCTCATGCTAAAGTTGGTGGGAAGAGGGCAAAGCCTTGAGGTTGCACTGCACCCACAGTAACAGGAATACAAGTTCAAGATACCCCTAGACCTGAACTGGGATGCACACTTTCTTCCCAATTCTCTACCAGGATCCTTAGCATTCCTGATTTGGACTATTCAGGAGCTACCCAGGGACATTTGCTTTTCTGCTGGAAGGGGAGGCATGGGCAGACCTGACAAGATCATAGCTACTACCCAGCACCTATCCCTGGAGGTGGTCTGGCTGTGGCCCTGTGATTTTCAGCATATCACAAGCAAAATGAACTAAAGTATATCAAATGAAAATGGCTCCAGAAAGACATGGGGCATGTATGGGGCATTCTGCTTTGTCACTATCCCCAAGGTCTAAAAGCACATCTCAAGAGATCACAAGCCAACCATAACTCAGGGGTCTGAGCTAAGAAGGGCCTTATTCATGGGCCTGAAGAGCCACAAAGGCCCTGGTCACTCAGGTGCTTGAGTCCAGGGGATTCTGGGTTTTGATTTTTGACAACACACTCCCACCTTTGGTGCTCACAAGTTTTCCCCACACAGCCCTCAATGCTGGCTCTCCCCTGGACTATCTTTCAACAACAGACATCAGCAAACAGACACCTTCACTGCCCCAAGGAACCAAATCCATTAGGCAGACTGGGCTGCTCTGGGATTAGAGAATCATGACTCTACTGGAGACAAGTGGTGACTCCCCCCTGCCCCCCACCGTTCACTTTCAAGACTAAGCTCATCATACCCAGAAGCCTGGGGAACAGCAGAAGCCTCCTTCCTCACCGCCAATCCATAGTTTCTACTTGCCCTGTACCCTTCTGTTGGTTTAAACTGGCCACAGAGCTGGTCCATAGGACAACACAACTCCCTCTGGACTCCCAAGTTCCAGCCTACACACGCACAGCTACTAGGATGCTCTGCCGAATTCATTCAAGTCTGACCACACCACTCCTCTGTTCTCAAGCCTTCTGTGGCTCCCTGCTTGCCCTAAAACTAAGCCCTCACCAAGTGGCCCTGGCCTGCCAACGATCTCCACCCCAGCCCCAGCAGCCTGTACCTGCTGCCCACATTTCAGCCTGTAAATTGACATAGGTACCCCCTCTTCTCACTTATTCCTTAAAAATGATACATGGCCACCTTCCAGGAAGCCTTTAGGACAAAGCCTCACCTGGGGATGAGTCAGAGAAGCCCCTAATTCTCATCCCTAAAACTCTGAGGAAAACCTGGAAGCTGTGTGCACCCAGTACTGTCCATACCCAGGCCACCTGGGTGACCTCATCCTGTCATATCAGCCCAGTCCTCTCACCCGGCCCAACTTGTGGTCGGCCAGGGTACAGGCATCCATGAAGGTCTGTGCAATGACAAGGAGCACCGCATCCATATTATCAGATGTCTGCACATCAAACACAAACTGTGGGTTTTTGATGATGTTGATCCAGAACCTCAGTGGCAGGCTGTAGATCAGGGAGACACAGCGAATAAGCACGCTGGGGAGGCTGGATGCACCACTTCCTGAGCCCTGCTCCCTGCTCAAAACACCTGTTGGTCTTCCAGATGTGGATGGTGTCCTGGTCAGAGATGCCATGCTGCTGAGCCTGCTCATCCAGCAGGTCAAAGAAATACTTCACAGCCAGAGGCACAGGGCGGCTGGTACTGAGAATCACCTGGAACAGGTCATCCACAAACTTCTGTAAGGTGCCCTGTGGAAAGAGAAGGAAGCAGAAGTTCAGTGAGGAAGAGGACCTCACCAGCCCAGCCCCACACCACCCCAAAGCCCCAGATCCTACTGACCATCCTGTCCCTGCCCCACCCTGGCTGGCCCTACCTTCATGGACAACAGGCGTGTCAAGTAGATCTCAGGGATGGCCTTGGCTCGCTCACGCTCTCCACCCCGAAGGCTGCCCCTCCGAGGCCTAGGTGGCTCTGGCTCCTCACTCGGCTTCACCAGGTGCCAGGGTCGGATGCCCCCCTCATCTACATCCTCCAGCATTGGAGTCCCTGTGCCAAGATGCAAGAGTTTGTTGTCCTTCCCACATGGTGTCACCTCCCCTTGAGAACCTGGGTCTGGTCAACTCTCCCAGGGTGAGAACACCTGGCTAAGGCTCCTCTAGGGAAAAGGGAAAGGGGCACAAGCCCTCTGTCAGTCCACAGGACCTTCACCATTACCTAAGACTAGGCAAGGCAAGTGCAGAAGACCACAATGGGGACAGGTACTCACGTTCGCCAGGGATGTAATCCTGGTTTTCCCTGAGAACATGTTTGGTGAGGCAGGGGACAAGGGCTACAGTTGCTCCATCTGGAACCTGTAACCACAGCTGGTGACACTTCTGCCAGTCTTAATCCACCCTAGCCCTCCTCCAGCTCCCATCCCTCCCACCTTATAATGCTGCAGGGTGTTGAGGCGCCTCCACAGACCCTGGACCTCAGAAGTGACATCCTCGTCAGAAAGGATGAGGTGTCCAGCCACCCCAGACCGCCATTCTGCAAGGACAAGAGAGGACTTGACTGAGGGCTTTCAGAATCCTCTTCCCATAGTATAGCCCATTTCCTCCTACACAGGAACATGGCCCCTCTATCAGGGGTAGCCTCAGCCATCCTCTCCAAAGAGCAGAGTGGAGTCCTCACCAGTCAAGAGGTCATCTGATCAGGTGCCCAAGCCACCCTGCTCCCCACCCTCACCAACATCCAGGGTGCGAGAGTCTGGTCGCTGGGCAAGAGGCACTCCTTTATAAAGCTGGTCCAGCATCTTCTCCTTGGCCTGGGAGATGGTGTCACAGTCCAGAACCTTCACAGGTACACCCTGGGCCTCTCCTGCCCCAGGCCCCACAGCCAGAAGCGCATTCAAAGTCTACACAGGATACATGAGAACCATCAGAGCTGGTGACATGTGCAAGATGACCAAGACACAAGGCCAAGGGCAGGGACAACCCATGAAAAAGCCACAGTCTCTGACCCTACTCTCTAATACTAAGTAGTCCTTAATTTTTGTCTCTTCGCCTATCTGCATCCCCAGGGATAACAGCTCTCTCCCCCATATAAATTCTTCTGGAGTGAAGGGCAGAACCCCCAAGTGAGCACACTGCCCTCTTTTACACCCCATATAAATTCTTCTGGAGTGAAGGGCAGAACCCCCAAGTGAGCACACAGCCCTCTTTTACACAGGTCCCAGAGCTGAGTGAGCTGAGGTGCCTGAGGGATGTCTACATGAACCAGGATTCCCCACTCAACCTGTGAAGCAGGTTTAGCGGAGCCTGGGTGGGACCCTGCCAGAGGAGCCCTCTGATAACAGAGGGAAGCCACGGGTATGTCTGCCAAGTGGCTTCTAGCTTGGGGGTCAAGACTGCATCCCTGGCAAGATGGCAAAAAAGATACTACAATCCTGGCATAGCACAGATCTGTGGTCCAGGATAGGGCAAGCTCTTCCCTGGCCCCTGTGTGGCTACAGTGGTCCCATCCTAAGCCTGGAGATTAGGTCCCCAATCTTCAATCCTGCAAAACCAGTTTAAAACCTCACTCAGGTTAGGGCTGTATGTAGTGGTTCAGTATTAATAGAATGCTTGCCTAGTATATGGGATGCCATGAGTTCCTATCATAATAAATGAATAAACGGTCTCTCTGCAGCAGCCAGTCAGGGTTCAAGTGGGCTCTTCACCTAGGCACAGACACTGGAAACAGTGGGAACCAATGCTGCAGACCACATACACGCACACTCTCACCAGGTCACATCCTCACCAGGGGACGGTACTCCACATCCTCTCTGAGTAGGCGGTTGTCATTCAGGGTGTATTTGGCTTTGCCAGTCACGCTATCCACAGGCCCCTTGTCCACTTGATGCTTAATTCCTCGGAAGAGCATGTACAGAGGCTCCCCTACTGAGTCCTGGGGAAGTGTAGGCGATTAGGGCCCCTGACATGAGGCAGAAGCACATGGGACATGATATATGCCAGGGGAGGGGACAAGATGCAGGCTCTAAGTGACTGAGGACATGCTGAATGAGGTCTTTGCTCTAGCATGAGTACACAAGCCATGTGATTGCTGGAGGCTTAATGGTCTAAAGGACCCAACCCTTCCTGATCAGGAGCTCCACTGGCCTCTGCCTCCCTCACCCTCACAAAGGTGTAGAGGCAGATGGACATCCAGTTGGTGAGCAGCTTCTCCACCACAGTCTCTGTCCTGGGATGACAGGAAAGGGGAAGGCCAGGGTCAGTGGCAGGGGCTACAGGGCTCTATTCCACAGACACCAAACCTAAGATCCCACTTCAGCCTGACTCCAGCTGTCCAACACCCACCCAGCCCTGACAGTCACAGACCTGCGTAGCATCAGCTTGGGGTTCTTCGCCACATACTGGGCCACCAGGTCACTAAGCAGAGTGCGGAGGATGTCGGTGAAGTACTCAAGCTTCCCATGCAGTGCAACAGTGAGCAGGGACGCCACATAGGCACGATCCCGAGCGGAGAAAGTGCGCTGACTCTCCAGTGTGTGGATGAACTGGGGCCAGAAAGAACAAGCAAGGGACGGGTTCAGAAACAGTTGGATGGAGATGGACTGGGCCTGGGCCAGTTCAATTAGGAGAAAGACAGGGGTGGGAAGGCCTGGTAGGGAGTTGAGGCCGCACCTTTGTAAGGAAGAGCTTGCTGTTAAGCAGGTTGGAGAGCTGCCCCAGGCCCTGTTCCACAGTGGGTCGCCTGCTGTCAGGCACACCAAGATCCCTGTGCAAGGGTGACTCCCGGTGCCCAGGGAAGAAGACCCTCTCTGCATACACCTTGTAGTCAAGGAAGGGGATACCACTGCCCAGAAGGTCACTGGTGAGATCAGTCATCTCAGTCATGAGGTCTGTTAAGCAAAAGAGGACAGGTTGGGCACTGGTCCCATTTGAGGAGCGCAACCTTGGGCAGAGCCCTGGAGAACACACCCACTCGCCAAGTCTCACCTGTAAACTCCTTCTTGCAACGGTCTCGCACACTGCTCTCCAGATTCTCCAACTGGATCTGAACTTTCTTATAGTCCCTCAGGGCCTGCTTGCTCTTCCTCCTGCTCAGTACCAAGGGGAGGAGGGGAAGTATGGAGACCAAAGCCTTTGCTGGGTCCCACTTGGCTCAGGCCTGCCTCACTATGCTCCAGGCAGACTCTGACCTTGTCTACCAAAGCATATCCAAGCGAGCCAAGACCCGATCCAGAATAATTCATCCTGCCTTGTTTCCACCAAGACACACCCACCCATGCTTCCCCTATACCAGCACAACTAGACCTGGGGATCAGGAAACTCCAATGACACCATATCCGGCCCACAAGTTATTTTTATTAAAAAAAAAAAAAAATTGTTAGATCTCCATTAGCCTCATGGTTTACATATTGTTCACAGTTGTTTTTATGCCTAAGGGCAAAACTGAGCAGGTGCAACAGAGACCACCTGGCCTGCAAAGCCTTTAAAACGTACTTTCTGGTCCTTTATCCATTTCCCCCTATCTGCCCCAGCCCAGCCCTGCCACAACTGGCTGCACTCACCTGTATATGAGGACAATGATGATGACACCCAGGGCCAGGAGAGACGCGCCTACCCCTAAGCCCACTTGGGCTGCCACAGGAAAAGCCACAGGGCTCTCGCCATCATACTGTACATGACCCAGGGAGAAGCGCAGGTTCCCCATCTGCACCTGTGTGGGAAGCCACTTACTTGTTGAGTCAAGGTTCAGGATGTAATGATGTCCATCCTGCCCAGGACCTGCCCACTGACCGTGAACTCGGGCAAAGCGTCTGGTGCCTCCCGGAGAGCATGGTGCTGTGGCAAGGGCTGCTCCGCTGGGGGCTCACAGTATAGGTGGTGCCGGGTCAGTGTCTTCACCACGCAGGGGCCATCTCCTATCATAGCCACCACCTCTTCCTTGGATATTGCAAGGTCCAGATTCTCCCCCTGGAACATGGGGTCCGTAATTTGTCACTCAGAACCCTTCTCCAAGACAGCTGGTAGTCACTCAACCTCTCTTCCCAAATGAAAGAAGGATGTCCTGAGATCATCCCTCAGCACCATTTCTCCGGTAGCCTGTGGAGCCGATGGTCACAGAGATGTCCTCCAAGCTGTTCTCCATGACCTTCTCTGCCCTTTCTTCTCCAGAGAGTACCTAAAACTATCCCCCAGATCTTATGCAGTTACCTAACTCTTGAGTTACCCTCAGGTAAATGATGATGGATTATCTGCCTCTGGCCTGTCTAAGTGCCCACATACTACCTTACCACATGTGTCACGACATGGGCCTCGTGTCATATATGTGAGCCACCCTGCCAAATGAGGATCAGCCCAGTTACCTGCTGTGTACACCATCCAGCTACCACAGATGCCAAACTGTTTACTTAACTAAACACAGATTCTTGCATGAGGACCCAGGTCACCAATCAAACCCCGGCTACAAGCTAGGCTAGCACCTACACTGCACCTGTCACCTCAGGCCCTGCACCACACTCATACTATTTTCCTGAAAAGGAGTCTGAGAAGGAGCAGTACCTCCACAGAGAACACACTCCCCGGCTTGTGCCGGAATGGTGTGGTGGGATCCTCAGGGTTGAGGGAATTCAGGGTGGGGTCAGCCTCATAGGAAAAAGGTGTGGGGCTCAGTGTTGCAAAGTCAAAGACCATGTTGTCGAGGATAAACTCCACTTGGACCCAGGGGTCCACTGGTGGGCCCCGGAGGGCAGGTGTGCGGCACATGATGAGGTGGGATGAGTTCACGAGGCATGGCTCCTCAAACTATGGAGAAAAACAAGAGCAGGTCAACTGAGGCACCCTGTGAGATCCAGGGGGCTAAGCAAAGATGGAAAGCGCCTCCTTTGGCACCAACTATGGTTGTCCACAGGCTGTAATATGAGTGAGGAGAGAAAAGGGCAGCCCGGTGCAGGCAGGGAGGCTCATGGGTGTGCTATATGATGACAGCTCCAGAACATACTTTCTCAGGGACCACATGGTGCTTCTGTCCAAGCCCCTGGCCAGGCTGGAGCATTCTTGGGACCACAGTCACTCGGATTCTTGGCATCTGTACCACATCCAGATTCTGGCCCCGGACCCATATCTCACGTCCTCCACTGAAACACATTCCGAGAACCACTCATGGCTTATATGAATCGGGGACATAAAGCACAGCCCAGTCCCAGCTAGCTCAGCCCCAGCCCCAAACTTCATGACCCCTTCTCTCTATCAACAGTAAGGAATTCACAGCATTTAAACCCAGGAGAAAAAAAATCTAGAAATTCCCCATGAGAGGGGCTGTAAAGACCTTCCTCGCACACGAAGTCATGTTTTGGGTCCCACAAAACACCTGAAGAAGCTCTTGGCGGGGCCCGCAGAGGTGACATTGGGGTCTGATGTGTACTTGAACTGGCCATGCTGAAGCCTCCGTTCAGTGGCCCCAAACCAAACAGTCACGGGGAGCTCCGCAGGCACAGGGTAAGGACTGGTCTCACAGCACAGCTGCTCAGACTGCTGCTCCAGGAGCCTGGGAGAGAAGGTAGAAGATGGGCCACAGAGGAACTAGGAACGCACTCAAGACTTGGCTCATTTCCCTCCCTTGCCAACTGCAGTCTCCATCAAGTGGCCCTGGAAGCTGTACGTGTAACAATCTCAGCTTCCACAAGGTCTGTCCACTTTCTCAGAGGGCAGACTTGGCCCACTCCCCACTGGCTTTTCCCAACACCTCACCCACTCCCTCTTCTCTCTGGACCGCATGGAGTTTTGTAGGATGAGGAAGCAGCCCTTACAAGTGACAAGGTTGGTCTCCGATCACTACATGGATATCTTCCAGACGCCCAGTCAGGAGCTTAGAACCATGCAGGGTGAGGCGGGTGCCTCCGGCTCTGGGGCCATGGGCTGGAAAGATGGAATGTATCTTTGGATCCTAAAGGAACAAGGATAGGGAGAGAGATAAGCTTCAGGCCAAAAACAGAGAGGCCAGGGGCACCTCAAATAAAAAAGATGGCCCTGGGGTAGAGAGTCTTATGAAGGCAAAACCAGATGGGCTGATGCAGCCCAGAGGGAGTGGACCAGGCATCTAGGGGTGGCTCAGCAGTCAGGTACCTGGTAAGCAAACTTGAGTTCTGAGACACCATGTCCTCTTCCAGGCACCTCCACTGCCACAGCACCAGTCACCTCCTCCCCAGTGGCCCCAGTAATGCACACAAGACTGTGGGGACAAGAGAGGCAAGAGGATGCAGGGCTGCATAGAAGCCCCTCAAAGTAATCTGGCAGACTCTCTCCCTGCCACAGTCCCAGGTGGTCTCCTCCACCTCAGCCCCCATATAATAGGCCAGAATCCTCTCAAGCTTTGGAGGGAAATCCTTTTGGCATACAAGCAAGCCTTGGAATCTGGGAACTAACATTCTTGGTTTAGACATTCATATACCACCTCAGAACCCCAACCAGGAGGAGCTGGTGTGACAAACATTTACAAAAGAGCCCTGCTCCTAAACATTTACTGGTCGTAGTGAGGCAGCTGAACTAGTAAGGGGCCTAGCCATTCCATGTTCTTCACCATCACCATGTGTGCAGCATCCACTTGCAAAGTGATGGAAACTTGATCTGTCCCTGGAAAAAACAGAACCTGAAAAACCTCTGATCAGAACTGGGGACAGATGTCAAAAGTCGAAAAAAATGCTGTTTCTCAACCAGCAAACAGAAGTCTGGGGCAAATTAACTTCCAAATGTTAAGGTGACAGTGGCTAACAATGTCACAGTTGCTTTGCAAACATTCTGAGAAAATAGAACAAGTGATGTGTGAACTACCCAAGTAGGCTTTAGCCAGAATATAGTTATTACTCCATAAATCACTTCATAAATTACCTATCTTCTGGTTCTGGAATTATTAACAGTCTAGATGGTCTCCTTAAATTCTCAGTCACCAAACATTTGGAGGAGAAATGCATACTCTTGCAAAGTGGTTTCTTGTTTAAAATACATACTGTGAGCTGGGCGTGGTAGCCCATGCCTTTAATCCCAGCACTCAGGAGGCAGAGGCAGGCAGATGTCTGTGAGTTCAAAGCCAGCCTGGTCTACATAGCAAGTTCCAGGCTAGCTGGGGCCACAGGGAGACCCTGTCTCAAAAAGACCAAAAACAAACAAACAAACAAACAAACAAACAAACAAATAAATAAGCAAACAAATAAATATAGACTGTGGAGCTCTGCCACAGGCTTGCTGAATCCACACATCTGACAGTGCAGTGAGGTATCTGTTCTGTCTGCTCTCCAGGTCACCCTGATACCCAATCAGGTTCGGGCCCTGCTGCTTGTGGGCATCTCCTAGACAATGTCTCATATTACCCTGTGGCACTCTGCAGGTATACCACCATACCCCTTCTGAGAGCCTGGCCAGCACTGGCAAGAAGGCCAGTGAGGAACCTGCTACCACATCATACCCAAGATCACTTAGAAAGGCAAAAAAGGACACCTAAGCAGAGCCAGAAAGCAGAACTACCAGCAGGCTCCCGACACTGACTCTGTCCAATGGACTGGAATGATCCCTAAGCAACCCAGGCCAGGCACCTACCAAGGTGGATACTCAGGCCTCCTTAGCAACCCAGCACTAAGAAACTGGCACCATAATCAAGGACACACACAGGGAAGACAAGTAAAGGAAGGAAAGCCTGAGCAGGGAGCAAGCTAACTACAGCACCCTCTCATGCTGGGCCCAACCAGCTCACCTACTGGAGACCTCATATTCCTGGACATCCACAGCACAAGGTACACCAGCCACCCTGACCATGTCCATCACATCCTGCACATGTTGGCCGAGGTTGGAACCCCTGATAGTGACACGAGTGCCTCCATCAATAGGTCCAGTCACTGGCTCTACCTGTCCCAAGACAAAGATGTTCACGTCTACTCATGTCAAGCTCTGTGAATAGAGGAGGCAACCCCAGCCTCCTACTCTGGGTCCCCAGGATCCAAGGCACAGGTATCCTCCCTCTATGGGCAACAGTGAGGGAAGAAGGGACATGCCAGCATTCCAACACACCGAGTGGATGAGAGGTGCAGGGCACTGTGTGGCCACAGCCTCAGCCTCATTACAGGCTTCCTGGGCCACGCAGCGAGGATGCTCCCCCTCACACCACACACAGCCATACTGGGGCGAGGCGGTTTGGCAGCGGCTGCAGTCTCCATGTCCCACGGAGCAATCATATAGAATCACTAGAGATAAAAGGGACGAATATGAGAGGGAAGCCTAGAAGAGCCCTGCTACCACCCACCTGCCCCAGTGGCCCCCAGGCAGCCTACCATGTAGCCCATCAGCACTGTCCACACGCAGGCCACCTGCCCAACGCAGGAACAGCCCCACCTGGAACTCTGGCTGCAGAGCTTCATAGCTGAACTGGAGAAATGACGGGAGTAGAGTCAGAGTTTGGGGAACAGGGAGGTGCCAGGCCTGGGGAGGGTATGCTCAGAAAAAGGACCAAAATGACTAGTTATAGCAGCACACAGTGTCAGAGGTCAGAACTGGAGTTCAGGGACCCCAGGGTGAAAGGGTAGGAGGTTAGAGGTGGAACTAGAACACAGGATCCCCCTGGGATCTCAATTTAAGAAGTCAGATTGGGATGCAGGGACCCCATGAGGTATACAGACAGAGGTCAGGGCACAGTTGGGGTATCCATCTGTTTTCTAGTATCAGAGCTTAGACTGTTACACGTGTGGCACATCTAGCTGAGATTAAAAGTCAGTGTATGGCCAGTGCATGAGTGTCCACTCAGGCTTTTGTGGTCTGCACCTGGTGCTGCTGGCACTTGATATGGCACCAGGTATCTGGAGGCGGCTCACACTCAACCTGGGCCTCAACTGCCACCTCGAGGCCCTCCAGTTCCATCACACATTCACTGTTTCTTGGGCCATCCTGAAGACAAGAGAACACAGTTGTTACAGTAGCTTTAGGAACTGCGCCCTGTGAGTTGTGCAGGTCGCCAGTACCACCTGAGTTGGGATGAATCCTGGGGCTATGCCCTCTTCCCAACTTCTAAGACGTGGGTAGATCTGAAGAATTGACAAGTAGTCTGTAAGAACAGATGTTAGTAGAGCACACACACCTGGAAGAGCCGCAGATTCCTGCCTCGAAGTTGGACTTCTCGCTCCACATGTACCGGTATCAGTGTGGAGCCTTGAACACTCTCCACACAAGGGCAGGAGCTTGTCCTCTGATTCACATCTCCCTATAGGCAACCAAGAGCAAGGCAGTCTGTGGTGCCCACCCTGTCCCCACTCAGTCCTCTGCCTTGCTGGACTCCAGGGGCAACACCCTGCCCCGACCCTCCCAAAGAAGAATTGCAAGGTGAGCAAAAGACTGCATCTTCCCATTCCCTCCCGATGTCTCCTTCCTGGGCTGGACCTCACCAGCTCCCAGAGCCCGGGGGTGTCGTACTGGTAGTCAAGGCTGGACAGAAGGATGAGGGGGGCAGGAGGGCCCTCGTGCTCTGCTGAGTCTCCATCACCTGAGAGGAGGGTGGAAGTGGAGAAGGCGGGCATGTCACCCCCCGTCCACTCGTCCGCCTCGGGCAGCTGGCCGCCTTCTCTCATGAGCCAATCCAGATCAGGCTTCGTGGAGCCAGCGGCCCCTGGGAAAGTAGTGGCAGGAATGGTGCCAGGGGACTGTTCCACCGCCACTGTGGAAGGCAGGGCCTCAGGGCCAGGCTCTGCAGGGGACACTGTGGCTGCATCTGAGGGGTATGGGTGGGAGGCCAAGAGGTCCTCAGGTATGGTCAATGGTCCCAAGTAAGTGGGGGCAGGGACAGTAGTTCCAGGTGTGGTGGGGAGGTTGGGGGGAAGGGGTTTCTCATGGAGAGATGACTCTGTGGAGGTAGGGGAAGGTATGGGGCCAGGACCTGCCCATGGCCTCCAGAGACTGAGCCGGGAAGGCCTGGCCCCAGGTAGGGCATCTGAGGTTGTGGCTGTAGAGGCAGCCCTAGGTTCCACTGGGAAGGTATTGGGAGTAGGGGTGACTATGGCTTTGGGGGCTGTGGGTGGGAAAGGAGTGGGTACGTCCCTTGCAGGAGGGTCTAGGGAGAGAAGTGGGCTCTGAAGGGCGAGGTCAAGAAAGACAGGAAGGGTCACTCAGCAGGCAGGTGCAGGAGCAGGAGCAGGAGCAGGAGGCAGGCGGGCAAGGGGTATGTTAAGAGGAAAGGAGACCAAGGAAAAGAGAAACAAAAACATCCCATTAATTCTCTAAAGGAGAAATACAGAGGGCAGGCTCCAGGGGTGTCTGTGCTGAGGTGGGGAACAAAGGCCACGCCTCTTGCCTCTTGGCTCAAATGTCCTCTCCCAAAACAGACGGGATGGATAAGCAGCCACTCTCCAGTGAGTCTGTCACACACAGCAGCTAAGGTGCTCAGGACAGAGCCTCACACAGGGCAGGCAGGTACACAGACCCCAGGCCATTAGAAAACCCTCACCCTGGAGATTCTAAGACCCATCCCAACATGCTCCATCCCGGAATCCAGCTCACCTGTTGGCTCACCACCATGGGCCCAGCATCACATGAGGTCTTGTGTGTACACAGGTGCTGCCAAACACACCAGTTACATCCCCAACGGCTGCTCACACAGGCCTGGCATCTGCACATAGCACAGTTGTAAGGCGGAGGTCAACATGAAGGAGCCCAAGGCTGGAGACAGACAGGTAAATAACTCACGGAGCAGATGGGCGGAATTCAGTGACTGCTACACAGTCATAGAAAGACAGGGAAGCGTTGGCAATCACCACAGCACCAAATCTGAGCTCCACATTCATGGAGACATGGTCTGCAAAATGGGGGACAGAGCCAGAACTGAGGAGTGAGAAGGGCACTGGGGTCCACATGGAGTGAGTAGGGCTGGCACCCCAAATGGGGAGAGGTACCCAAGGTCTAAGAGCAAAGTCCATAGTGCACAGAATGGACACTGTCAGGAACTCAGCACAAACATTTGTTCAGGGCTATTAGACGTCTAGATTCACCTCTCACCCAACAAGACCCCTTAGAGCAAGATGGGAGCAAGGTAGGGCTCCCAGGTCCGGGGCTGGCCCCTTCTCTCACCCACCGGCTCCTCTCTGCAGCACCGGGGCCTCACTAGGATCTGGGGAGGGGCACATCACACCAGAACCGGTCAGCAGAGCAGGACTCTGATGTTCCTCAAAGTAGCAGGAATAGGACTCCCCTGGCCAAAGAGAGGGCAGGTCTGGCACCGACAGGAAAACCTACCAAGAAAGCCAAGGGTATACTTTGGGACCACTGGGCAGTAGACCAGGATTTTTTTTTTAATATTTTATTTATTATTTTTATTTTATGTGTACAAGTGCATTGCCTGCATGTATGTGAGTGCACTGTGTCGTGCAATGCCGCGGAGGTCAGAAGAGAGCTTCAGATTTCCCTGGAACTGGAGTTAAGGACGGTTCGTAGCTGTCATGTGGGTGCTGGGAGTCAAACCTGGGTCCTCTGCAAGAGCAGTCAAGTGCTCTTAACCACTGAGCCATCTCTCCAGCCCCTAGATCAGGACTCTTACTTATGGAACACCGAGTATAGGCAAGTACTAGCATCTTGTAAGCCTCCAGCCTTCACTAACATCCTCTGACTGGTAACAGATGGAGAAACCCAAGACCAAACAGAAGTGACTGAGAAAGGCCATGTGGTATTTGATGCAAATGGCACAAAAAGCCAAGGTCTCCACCCATCCCCAGAGCCCTCCCCACTGGAACCCTGCCTACCCTGGTCATTTACCTCCTTCCTCTCCTCCCGGCTGATGTTGGCAGGGCTCACAGCCACCACTCGAAGACAACCCAATTCCGGCTGGAAGCTCCATACCCACTGTTCTGGGCCCTGGCCCCTCGAGCATTCTGACCGGCGACTACACCTGAGAACCACCAGTGTCTGACCTTCAAGGAGTCACTTAGATATCACAAAGCAGAAACACCTATAATACTGAGGCCCTGGATACAGCCTTCAAATGGGGTTGATACCAGGTTCTTGTGTCTGTTCTGGCACGACTCTGGATGCCCAAGGTAAAGGAGGAGGAGGGGTGGGGCATCCAGAGGTTAGAGGGTGAGAATCAATGAACAAGGTCAAGAATCCTGAATAAGACAGTTACAAGGACCCAAGACCGGGTGAGGAGTTGATGGAGCACTAACCGGCCGAGGAGCACACACCACCCACAATATGGGTCCCTGTGGGCAAGGCAAGATTCACAGTCCAGATGCTGAGCACAAGGAGCCACAGGAACCTTCACAAGCTGTAACAGCAAAGGACGACCTGAGGCTGGCAATCCAAATACCAGTGGCTCACCCATATAATGGGTCCCGGGACCTTCCCAGAGGCCCCTCCCAACAGCCATTCCCTGGCACATGCTCAGTACTTACTGTGGTCTGGGTCATGACATACAGGTGCTCAAAGGTGCTATCAAAAGTGAGGTCTCTGCTCACTGCAGACCCTGGCTGGATGCTCTGTTTAGAGTACGGTTCAGCATTGCTCCCAGGGCCCAAGTAGACCTGAGATGAAAAGCACAAGGTCTAGCACCAAGCCCAGGCCACAGACCCAAGACCCTCCTCTATTCACAACTGAAGCAATTTAAAAATAAGAATTTCCTCCTTTGCTGGGCATCGTGGCCCATGCCTTTATCTTGGCACTCGGGAGGCAGAGGCAGGCGAGTTTCTGTGAGTTTGAGACCAGCCAGTGACAGGTCACTGCAACCAACCTTGGGGGTAAGGGGAAGTCAAAGTAAAACAGCACCCAAACCTGGGAAGAGCAGTATAGACACAGGGCTGGGGTGGGGGTCGGGGGGGCATGTGGCATATTACACATCACACATCCCAGTCTCAAATCTTCTGATGGACGCACCCTATGCAGCTGTCCTTGACTATCACCCAGGAAAGCAATGGTGTGTTCATCCTCCATGGTGACTGCCACAGCTGTGAGTTGAACCCCTGGCAACTCCAGAATTGGTGTGGATTCCAAAGGGACACAGCTAACCACAGGGCTGGGTGTGTGATCTGAGCCACAGGGAAAAGCATCCGGGGTATCCTACAAGTAGCAAAAAACATCATGCCTGGATAACCTTCCTGCCTCATCCTCCCTGGACAACCCCTCCCAACCCCTCCTTCCTCATGGGCCAGACCTCTCTGACAGTCCTACCCTGGGCAGCAGGCTCCTACAGCCCCATCCTTAGCCTTACGTCAGTGCATGGACATCTGCTTCTGAGTTTCTAGTGGTTCATTCCCTTCTTTTGATCCCCACTCAGTCTGTGGCCCTGGTCTTCCTTTCTTGGAAGCTATTTCTTCCATTGCTGTACTCCATACTTGCTCCTGGGCCACTTCCTAAAGCTCTCACAGCTTAGCTCCACACCTCCCAGCCCACTCGCCTGGGCCTTCTGACTCACTGACTCAGTCTTGCTGTGAACAAATTCTTCTCTGTATCCTTCCTCAGCTACAGCCACCCAAATCCCATCTCTACCTTTTCTCTTGCTCCAGAACCTAAAACAAGAGGTCTCATTCTAATATTCTATCCCTACCTGGGTCAAGCCCAAATCTGCACTGCTCCTGCCACTTGGAATTTTCACTGGGGTAAGGTATTCCCTTGTTGCTCAGATCCAAAAGAAGCACCTAATACCTGATGGCCACCTCACTCCACCCCCAGCTTCCCTCAGTCCTCCTAGGCAAGTGCTGGCTGCAAACGCCTAAACTCACCACTGGCAGCTGTGCACAGTCAGAAAGGACATCATAGGCAATGTCAGCCACCTTGGTCCCATTCTCAGCACGGCCTTCCCGGGTATAGCAGGCATCTCGAGTATAATTAGCAAGCCAGTCTACTTCATCCAAAGGGAAGGCACAGAGCACAGAGGTTCCAGATGCCCCAGTAGATGCAGACAGGGGCCAGTCCACAGTGGGAGGAACCACTGAGGAGAAGGCTGCAAAGAGCACTTCCCCACGGGCCACCTCCCTGGATGTGGCCACAGCTGCAGCCTGGATAAGACCATAGCGGCCACCCTGGCAAGCCAGAGGCAATTCCACATAGGAGTAGTAATGCTGGTCCTGGAGGCACACTCGGGACACATAGGCACGGAAGGCTCTAGAAGGGGCCTTCAGGTCTCGACGCAAGAACAGGAAGTAGGCACTGGCCCCTCGTACAAAGGCACTCACAAAGTGGTGGCTGTACTCAGAGAGGCGGCCCACTGCCAGTTTGGCAGTCTCCTCATAAGAGAAGGCAGCTTGGGGGTCCAGTGGCCGCAGGGTCCGGGTTGTAATTGGGGGGATGCCACCCCCTACACCCCTGCTAGTGTACCCCCGCCCCACAAACAGAAGGGGCTCCCCTGCCAATCCCTGGGCCACTAGCCCCACTGTACTGACTGCAGGGTCATTTGCAGCCACATACTGGGTGTCCCCAGGCCGCTCTGGCCGTAGCAGCAGCTGCCTGAGCTGTCCTAGGCTCCGAAGCTCACAGACGCCCTGGTGTACACTCCCACACACCACCAGGGCCTCTGGGCTCACCAGGAGCAGCTGGTTGGGATTGTTGGTAGGCTGGGCTTGAGGACATTCATCAGGTATCACTGGGGGCAGGCAATCTCTGCTGTCATTCACAGGGCCTGTGGACACCATGGCTTCTAGCTGCAGCCCAGGGCTCAACTGGAATAGGAAGTTGGTGGCCCCTACATAGAGGGTACCTGAGATGGGGTCCCTTGCCAGATGTTGCAGATGTGTGCCATTGGGGGTAAAAGCAGCTGGTGGAGGGGGCTGTAGGGTAAGGATACACCCAGCCCAGAGCACCTGGAGAAGAACTGGGCCGAGGACAGGCATGGTCACCTGGCAGAGAGAAAGGCCCAATGAGGCTCAAGTGGTCAGGAGGGCACACTGAGGCCATTGATAAGGGATAGGGTGGCGGTAACGCCAAGATGCTCCTCCTAACCTAGATTAATCAGAGGAATACTAGGCTTAGATGGTCCAGGATGACCCCAGGACTACACACTAGCCAGGGCAGAAACAGGAGACACTGCCTCAGGAAGCCTCAGCACCACCCGGTCCCCATAGGCACTGTGCTCTCTCAGCACCTGCCCCACTCCACCCTCAGTACACATTTGCTCTCTTTTTCCTTCCAGGCCTGGTTCTCTCTGATGCAAGTGAACTCTGAGGAGGGAGAAAGCCCTACACGGATGTCAGATTCCTGGGCGTAGGAGGAGGTTAGGTGGAGTCTCATAGACCACCAGCATGTTAGAACAAAGTGAGAGTTGGGGACAGGGTCTTTCAAGCCAGGAATCCAGAAGAGTGATAATGACAGAACTAAGGCTACGCTGGGGGTTGGGGGTTGAAGGACAGGGCCCCGCCTTGGGGGGCCTTGGGCAGAGGTGGGAGTCACACTGCCCCCAATGCCTTGGGGTAAAGTCTGGCTCACCTGGCAGGGCTGGCTGGATCAGGAGACAACAGCATGACCTGAGCAGGAGTCACCTAGTCAAGGCGGGGAGAGCAGAGTGTGAAACTGGGGGCTGGGCTGCAGGCATGTAGGAGCCCTGGGCTCCTCACTGTGGAGGCAACAAAAAGTACCCCTCCCCACTACCGAGCCTGCCTGTGGAGCCAGGCCCAGGCTGGCCCTCAGCCACCAAACACATTCCACAGAGGATGCCTCCTCAGAGCCCATACGGGGAGGGGGAGGGCAGCAGAGCCAGGCACCCGAGGGGCCTGGGAAAGGTCAGCTAGAAAGGAGCCCCATGGCCAGCAGGGTCCAGTCAGGCTCCCAGCACAGCTGTCTTCCTCTGAGGTCCCTTCTCAGCAGGCATCCTCCCCATCCTGCCCTTTGCTCAAACTCTACCCTGTCAAGGCACTGAGGTACACACTCTCCACACAGGAGAGGGGCCATCCTAGCCCAAATGGGCACCAGCACACCAACAGATACTCACACAATTATATACATACCATTCACCCTGCCTGTATACATCTCCACACAAAAGCAGGGGCACTTGCACACACAATGCTACATGTAGAAATGACCTATGCACAGGGCAGATGTACACACACACACAGAAAACATAAATATACCACACAGGCTCATGTACCTATGTTAGATACCACATATAAATACAGTCATACAAGCAGGAGAGAAGGGCCAATGGTTAAGAGCACTGACTGCTCTTGCTGAGGACCCAGGTTCAATTCCCAGCACTCACAAGACAGCTAAAACTGTAACTCCAGTTCCAGAGAACCCAACGCCCTCTTCTGACCTCCACAGACACTGTACAACACAGGTGCACTTACACACATGCAGACAATACATTCATACACCTAAAATAAATAAAATATTTTTAAAATAAATACAGCCATATATACACCAACACACACACTGCACAGACATGTCATACCTACCAACGAGATACAGACACACATCACCCATGGTAGATGCCGCACATATAGACTCACACACACTTCCCTGGGTCCAGCACTAAGTCCCAGGGAGCTGTGAGGCAGGTCACCTCTTGCTATTTCCTCTCTTGCAGGCTGGAGAAGAGTCAGAGCCCAGAGTACAGGTTGAATGGCAAGGTAGATATTCTGAAGAAGTCATCTTTTTTTTGGGGGGGGGGTCTTTTTGAGACAGGGTTTCCCTGTAGCCCCAACTGTCCTGGAACTCACTATGTAGACCAGACTGGCCTTGATTCACAGAGATCCACCTGCCTCTGCCTCCCAAGCACTGAGATTAAAAGGCATGCACAACCACAACCAGCCTGAGGAAGTCATCTTGCCTGGCTGTGTCCTCCAACCCCAGGTTCAACCCTAAGCCTTCTCCAGACTTTGTCTGCTTTCTCACTCTGCAGGCCCCAACTGAGGCTCCTCAATCCCAGACCTAAGCAACATGGCAACACTACCTTCCCCAAACCCCAATAGCCCTCAAGCAGGAACACAGGGGTTGGTTAGGTTATGGGTCAAACCATTCATCCTAGACTGAGAGACACTTTCTCCTATTTGCCTGTACCCAGGTCATGTTGCCCAGCCCCTCCTGCCACCCAGCTGCCAAGCTGGCCGTGCAGAATGTTCCCAAAGTTTGCTTCTCTGGACTCAGAATGGCCCATCCTATCAGAGCCTCAGCAGGACACTCCTGAGGCTGCCCTATCAAGAGTGGGGCTGGGTACAAGGCTCAGAGGAAGGTCCAGCAGCCTGGTGGGAGCAAGGACACTGTGGTCACAGCCCGGTGGGAGCAGGGGGGCCATGGCCACAGCCTGGCTGGGCACTGCTCCCAAAATAGCTTGGGGGTTTCCATTTTTAGTGTGCAGAGAACAGGGTAGCTCTATGGTAGAGGAACAAGGCTGCCTCTGTTTGCCACCCAAGGGGGTGGGGGAAAAGAGGCTGCAGGGAAAGTCTTGAACCCGGCCAGAAGCCCAGGACTATGGCAAGGCCAGGCTACCAAGAAGCCCCCCAACAAAGTTCTTCCTCTGGGAAGACAGAAGTCATCTCCTGCACTTGGCTACTGCCCACCCCTCCCACCACCTCAGGCCACAGATGTGTCATGGACATGCCTTGGGCACAGGGTCCCATAGTGAGACCAACATTTGCCCGTTTCATTAGCTTGTAAATATTTGCTCAGCGTCTACTGCATGCCAAGTTTCTCCAGCCCTTGAGGGGCAGTGACAAAAACCACTCCCCAGATGTGAAATCACAGCTGGGTTGAGAGGAACACAGGGAGAAATGTGAGGGACCAGAAGAGCTCCTGGCTACAGCGTACAGGTCAAAGTCTGACCCACTCTAGGGAACTATGTCAGGCTTCTTCAATAAGCCCAGCAGCTTTCCCTTTCCCTACATACGGGGGAGGACAAAGGGCAGTGGCATTTTCTCCTCCGTGCTGGCATATACATTTATTTCACTTAACCTCCACTACATGCCACAGAGCATCTACAGTCCCTCCAATACATGAGGACCTCACTGGATTTTCTTTAAACAAAAATGGAATACAACACACACACACACACACCCCAGCTTTGGGGGCACCCTAGGGCTGAAGAGATAAAGGTCAAGCCCCTCTAGTCCACATCCTCCCTCACACATGCTCTTCATTCCTGCCTGAACTGCAAGGCTTGTTCCACTCCTCCCTGCCATCACAAGGGTTGTTCCCACTGCCTGGAATGCCCACTCCCTCTCTATCCCATTACCTCCCACACCCAGTCATCACCTCCCTGGGGAGCCTTCCTTAGGCTTCCCAGGCTCCTGAGGAGGTGATGGATGGAATGGACACACCCAACCACCAGCCTGACCTATCCTGCTCTGCCTTGGGCTTTGAGCCTGGAATTTCCCATTAGTGGACTGGGAAGAAGGACTGCTTTGACCAGTAAATGTGGTAGAATATAGCATTGGTGGCACCACCCAAGACCACACTCCCTCAGTTCCATCTTTCTATTCTAGATAAGAACTCCTTAAAGATGAAGTATCCACTTTTAATTATGAGGTCCCAGCAACTGGCAAACCAAACACAGAGCAGGTGTTCCCTATATGGTGAATGTACCCCCATTTCACACCCAAAGAAATCCAGTCAGTAGGGGTAATATAGAGCTTATACACAGCTTTCCAAGCCACTTGGCCTCTCAAAAGGCAAGGAATTGGCCCACTTTTATTACTGATCAGCCTAGAGCAGACTAAAAAGGCTAATTTGGAGCCAAGTCTCACGTCCCCAACTTGTACTGCCAGAGCTCCTCCCTACTCCCTACATCTCAGCTCTGTCCAGGCTCACAGCCAAAGTCTGTCTGTGCCCAGGCCTGCCCCCACAGGCCTCTTCAGGGCCCAAAGTATCTGAATCTCTTCAGCAAAGCCCAAGACTGCCTGCCTGCCTTCTGTCTGCAAAGGGCAAGCGCCACCTGGCTCCCCTTCTGGAGCTGTTCTCACCAACCAAAAGGGCTCAGCCTTTCCACACCTGCACATTTTACCTTGACTGAGAGTTGGGAAACTGGCCTTCCCTTCCTGACCCCTCCTGTCCCTTTCCAGTGTCCACTTAGAAGTGCGAGTTACTCGTTGACAATGTACTGGTGCACAGTGTCCACCCGCTTTCTGGATGTGGAGTGGGGTAGGAGTGGAGAGTCACCATTTACCAGGTGATGACCCAAGGCGCTAGGCGTGTCTGTACCCGGAAGGGGTCCCCCTTGGGTTAGAAGGCTCGTGGTCCTCCTTTGTCGGTCTTGCAGAGAGCAGCACGAAGCGGCTGCGAGTCCTAAGGGGAAGCCTCCACTTCTCCATTCGGCTCATCCCAGACCCTTCTCCCTCCCTCGCGCCACGGAGCAAAGACCCCACCAGTGGCCCTGGGAGGGCGGGGAAGGGGCCGGCCGGTCCCCGCAGCGGCGGTGGCGGAGGCGAGGAGGGGGCGCGGAGGAGCAGCTCCACCTCCTCCATCTCCCAATCGCATTACAGGCGGAGCCGCCGGAGTTTGCCTTCGCGCGCGCAAGTGTGGTCCCAGCTCCCAGGACCGAAACCGCCCACCACTATCCGGCTGCCGAAGCCCGGCACGATCGCGGCCGCGGGCCGTTCCACCTGGGAGCGCGCGGCTCTCGCTCCGGGTCCCGCAGCCCCAGCCCGGGCCCCGCAACTCACCACCCGGCCGGCCCGCGGATGTGCGCGGTGAGGCGGGCGCCGGCTGCTCCCGGCTCGCTGGGGATCTGCGCGCAGCGGCCTTCCCTCCCCGCGGAGGTGGGTCTGGCGGAGCCGCAGCTGTTACCCGGAGACCGAGGGGCGGAAAACTGCGCCCGCTGCCCGCCCCTCCCGCCGCGGCGCTGCCACCGCTGGGAACAAAGGAGACAAAGCCGCGTCCGCCGGCCCGGGCTCCGCTCCTTCCCCCCCCCCCTTTGCCCGCCTGGCCGCCCTTCCCCCGCCCGCCGCCGGGGCCAGGCCGGAAGCAGCGGGGAGAGATGGGCGCGCGGCCCTCAGCCACCGGGGACCCCGCATTCCGGCCCCGCGGGAACTGCATTAGGGAAAGGCATTGGGGGGGGGGGGTTAACACCCCTCGTGGGAGTAGGATCTGCTGTAGGGAGGCGGTAGCCTTGGCAACGCGGATGGGGGGGTAGCCCGAGGGTGGGCGGGCCTCACCTGCGCGCTCCAGACCCACGACTGGCAGCACTCAGGGGCCGCGGCGGTGATCGTGCCCTGCACCCCGTTACAGCACCCAAGCTTCTTCTCATACCACCAGTGTCCGAGGGGACTTGTGCTCCTTACCTGCCGCGCCTGTTCCCTGACCACCATCCTCACCACCTCCCATGGGCCTCACTCGGCCTCCAGAGCTCCCTTTCCCTTCTAGTTCCGAGCCCTAGTGGCCGTCATTCCCCAACTTTCTTCACCTGAACTCCTAGGCGCCTTGTTTCTCCTCTTCCCACCTGGCCCTGCCCACCTCTCCTTCTCCCAGGACTCCGCGACACCCAACCTCTCCTTCCGGCCCCCACCCCTGACTGAGAAGAGCACCAGCTTCGGACCTGCGTTTGCGCCATCCCCAAGCTTGTAACCTGACACCTTTCCCCCAGCCTGTTTGCTCACCGGCAAGTGGGGGTGATACCAAGCTGTTAAAGCAAGGTTTACTGGCGGTGAGGTGCATATGCAGGGTCTCATTTCCTTCCTTTTCTGAGGCTTGTACCTGGACCCATCCCGTGCTGAGAAGCTCTGAGCAAGTTTGGACTCCCTCATTGGCAAATACCTGGGTCTTCCTAGGAAGGAAACCCTGGGCAAGATTCCCTCCTGAAGTCCATTGTGCCTTGAGCAGGACCCTTCACACCCTGGCCAGCCTATGGCAATCGGTGGAGCCAGGCAGGTCCTTGGCCCATCCTGAGGACTTGTGGAGAACTTTGGCTCAAGGCCATTGATTGGCACAGGTTCCAAAGAGGCAAATCTGTCATACATAACCCCTAGAAGCCTCCACAAGTTAAAGCTTCAACTTGAAGTCTTCCACACTGGCCACTGCACTAAGTGCTAACTAATACCAGACTCCTCTTCCACCACACCCACACCCCCATCTCAGGGGTCTCCTTTCACTCATCTGTCTACCTGCCTTCCTAGGTCTCAGACCATGCTCTCTCCTCCACCCTGACTTCCAACACTTGAGGCAAGACTCCCAGCACTATGCACCAGCTTGACCACCTTTTCCTAGTTCTCTCACCCCTGACCTAGGACTGGGCTGCCAACCCGGCACTCCAGCTCCTCCTCTCCACTCTAACCCTAATGCTATGCTCCACAGCTCTCCTACACCAGTCCCCACCTCAGCCAGGACAGTCTGCCCTCTCACCTACCTTGGCTTTCCTACCTTTACAACTTGTAGAAGCCCCTTTGATGTGCTGGGAACACGCTCCTTTAAAGAAGATACCCATCAGGACCAATCTTATCCCAGAAGGGAACCTGGACTCACCCCTACAGATATAAGCATTTCTTGCCCCATCAGGAGTGTGAATACCATTATGTGCCAGGGTTGTTCCATCCCTGGGGAACCAAAACACACGGAAAATGGAGTGACCAAATGACCAAGAGATCAGGTTCTCACAGGTTCAAAGAACCTGAGAGGCCATTTTGGCCCCTCTTGCTGCTCAGGACAGAACTCAGGATCCAAGAGCAAAGGGCTCCTCATGGGAAACACTTCTGGCCCCAGACACAAATAAGCAAGATACAGCTGTGGTACACTCATCAAAGATGGGTAGGTTGACTTCACTGCATGCCAGACCTCTAATACTCCAACACAGGCACAGAGCACCACCCCACAACTCCTATTTACACAAGGCCACCCACACCATTTAGCTGGGGAGGTCAAAGGTCATTGTTCCCTCTGAAAAGGGAGCGGTCAGGGGTTCTCAGGCAGTCCACCTCCATGCTTCACTGTTCCCATCCTTTAACTACTTTACAGTGCTACCAGCATGAGCCGAACTACTCCCAGGCTGTAAAGAGAAGTACTCTGCTTCAGGGACGCAGGCTGGCCATGGGTCTCTGTAATGATGTCCTTGGCAGTAACCAACTGTCCCCCAGTCTCTTCCTTGCTTTCCTCTGAGCACTCTTCCAGAATCAGAACCAAGAGATCCCTTTCCTCCCAAGCCACACAGCAGACTAGGTTCCACTCACTACAACCCCCTACACAGGAATGCCCCAATAAGTAAGGGCAGATCAAGATACTCAAAGTGAAAACCCCAGACCTCAACACTGAGCACATCAAAACAATCCTGAGTCAGGACCAAGAGAGGATGAGACAGGAACTAAAAGGGGGGTGAGTTCCTTCACCCCATACCCAATCCCTAAGTCCCAGATTTCCGCTTTCAATGACAAAACAGTCTGATGTAATATCTTTTAAATAATACAAACTCTAAGGTATTTTAATTGGACATTAGCATAAAGTTTTGGCAACATAAATGAATATTACCAACTAAATAAAATATATTGGCTGGTAAGCCCCTCAGATGGTATTCAGAGAGTCTGGATGAGGTTGTGTGCACCCCGAGAAGGTTGTGTTCACCCTTGGCCCCTTTGGAGGCAGCTCCCAAGGCTAGCTAGTCCTGAACAGCATGTAGAGGACAGGCAGTATGGCCACAAAAGTCACACAGGTGAACAGTGTGCTGCAGATGGTATTCCTGTTGACTTGGGCTTCTAGTCTCTGCTCCATATCAGACAGGGCCAAGACCAGGCTCCCTTGTTCCAGCAGTGAGCTGGGCAGAGTCCTGTCTACTGACTCCACGAAGCCTGGGTATGCTGCAGCCTTTGCAAGCTGAACCACCCCAGCCATTTGGCTCCAAGTCTTTTCCAAGCCATCAAGTTGCTCTCGTAAACCCTCTAGGCAGGAATGGACCTGCTGGGAATGACTGAGCTGCTCTTTCATGGCAGCTGAAAGGACATCTATGTCTCTCCCTTGGGTGGAAGAAGTACTTGCTGGTGATCCTGAACCCTGGTCCTTCCCAGCATGCACCAGGCCCCTCAGGTCTACCATGAGATCCTGGAGGTCCCTCTGCTGAAGGGAGTAGCTAGAGGCCTGTTCACGGATGGCCTCCTGGAGACTTACAGGCCCTTTCTGTGCCTCCAGGAGTAAGGCTTTCAGTTCCTGGAGCCGTACACGGTTCACATAGGTGGAACCAGCCACACCAATGAGAGCTCCCAGAACTGACCCGATGAGGGACCAGTTCTTGGTCCGCTCAGCCCTTGTGCGCTCCTTCTCGTGACTTTCCCGCACGGCTGCAGAGAAAAGGGAGAACTTCTCCCGCTCAGAGTCTTCTGCACGTAGATATGCTGTGCGGAGCCTCTTCTCTTCCTGTGGGAGCAAAGTGGTGTCATACAACAGCAAACAGCCTTGTGACTACAGTCACTGGCACAGGAGAAACTCCTTGTCCCTGACTCCACAAATATCTGCTGCTGAATGGAGGCAGAATACACCTGGCTGGACTGCAGGAACAGAGAGATGAGGCATGTGGAAGGGAGCCACATGATCTTCCCACTGAGCCATCATGGGTCTGGCCAGGTATGCATGCACTGATGTCACCAGAACAGGTCTGTAGGAAACGAAGTACCTGGTATACCTCCTAGGAAATGAAGTATCTGGTATACCTCCATGGTACTCACTCCTCAACCGTTTGGATGCTGCTAGGCTGTACTTTGTTGGACTGCCTAAGTACTTAGCTCTATAGTACTTAATATATAAGTACCGTAGTACTTAGGAGAGAACAGATAGACAGGCCCTGGAAGCCAGGGGCCATGACAGGAGTTTCTGGCTCACCTCCTTCTCAGAACTCTAAACAATTGTCAGGATTCCCACTTGGCCCCTCCACACCCTCCCTGTGCAGGTAAGGACAGGCTGCTTCCCAAAGGGCCCACCTGTAGCATCCTATGCTCCAGTGTAGCCAATTCCAGGTACTGGTTGTCTTCCCTGGAGACGCGGTCCAAGCGGTCCCTCACCTCCTTCAGCTTAGCCTGCTGAACTTCCAAATCCTCTCGAGCCTCACGGACAAGCCCACGAGCCACCATGAACACTTTCTCTGCCTGCAGAGAGAACAGCAGAGGCCATTAGCCCTTCCTTTCCATACCCACACAGGCTTAGCTTCACTGCCAACAACGTGGTGGCTAAAAAGAGGTCACTGGGGTGTCACTGCAAAAGGGTGGAAACAGTTCCCTGGACGCTAATCCTGGCTTACTCTGGCATACTCAACGTGTAGCTCTGAGCCGCACCCAACTGAAGCACTGGATTTATTCATTCAAGCAGAAATAACATGCCCCTGAGAAACTTGAAAGCAGCAAACAGTGACATAATCTTTGTCCACTAAACCCAGTGAATGTTTGATAGAAACCACCATGAGGAACCCATGTTCTTTGGCTGTGCTCCATGAGTTACAGTACCTAAGCCTACAATCCCACCATCAGAGGCACTGCTACGGCCACTAGCTTACAGTCCTGGAAATCCCAGTTCAGTCAAGCTCTCAGTCTCCGAGGAGAAAAGAGAACAATGTGCTTCCAGCTGAACCCCAATTTCATCCTACCTTGCTATTGCTCTGTATCTAAGCAGGGGTGGTAATAGAGGTAACAGAATGAACTTCTGCTGCCACCAAAGACTTGAAAAACACAGGAAGCTCTGTCTACCTCCCAACATGATGTTTCACAGTGCCGTCTGCCTTCATACCATAAGGCAGCAACCTCCATCTGACTGTCACCATCAACCGCCAAAAACAGTCCGTGAAGGAGGATTTGCTGGCCTAAAATTACAAGGGGGAAGGCTAATGGCAGGGACTTCTCAGTTCTTGATCCAGGGGGAACAGTGGGTTCAATTACTTAGAGACCTTGACCCAATAGTAGCAGACCCAGATTTCCACATGAGAAAGTCAAATATTTCTCCCAGTGATGTTTGTTTAAGAGGAGACAAGTCTTGAGCTGGGTGTGGTGGCATACATCTATAATTTCAGCACTTAGGAGGCTAAGGTAGGAGGATCACAAGTTCACAGATAGCCTCAACTACATAGCAAGTTCCAGGCAAGCCTGGGCTTCAATGCAAAACCCTGTCTCAAAAGACCAAAAAAACCCCAGGTGTGGTGGGACACACTATAATCCAAACACTCACAAGGTCCAGGCAGGAAGATCAGGAGTTCAAGATCAACCTTGGCTACTTAAGGGATTCAAGGTCAGCCTAGGATACAAGAGACTATCACAAACAAACAAAAAAGGCAAGTCTCCATCTGGCTTCCAGGGTGCCACCACATAGGTGGCTGGTGACTTGTTTGTTAGGAGCCAACAAGCCACATTTCCAAGTCAGAAGGCAAGGTCAACCACCCTGGCTCCCTCCTTACCTCAGTCACATTTCCCTGGGCCTCTTGAACTTCATTGAGTCCCACAAACTCTTCATATCTGTCCCACCAAGTCTTGGCAGTAGAGGCCGCTTGTTGCTGAATAGTGTGCCCCAGGGCTCTTCCCAGGGCTAGGAGGCGGTGATACAGCCTGAGGGCTGTGGCCTCTGATCGCTTCTCTCTGGGCTGGCTGGGACCTGAGCTACAGAGAGTCCTGGTGGTCATAAGGAGGTCCCTTCCAAGGAGGCCTCTTCGTACCAGCACATGGGGCACACCCATGACATGCTGCATGGCAAACACAGGGCTGGACCCTGTCATCAGGAGATCTGTGAGGGGAACACCAGACAAATCAACTCATGGCTAAGAAAGGATAAACATAAATCAGGTCTTAATGCCTAGGCCCAGTGCTAAACAGACTCATTTTACTAAAATTATCTCAATGGAGCATCAATCTGTTAGGTCCCTGCAGCAAGAGAGGGGTCAGCATTTCCCCTGGGCCTTAGGACAAGGAAACACACTTGGGGAAGAGTTTATATAGGGCATCATACTTTCCCTTTCCTCCCATGATGCCAGACCCCACTGTCTCCTCTTATCCCCCAAGTCTCTCTGGTATGAGCTGGGTGAGAATCCTGGTGCCTCAATTTTCTGATAATGCCAGAGAAAGTCCTCAAACCTGAGTTGTGTCCATACTGATAAAAAGATCCATAAAGGCTGGGCATGGTGGCCCACGCCTTTAGTCCCTGCACTCCTGAGAGGCAGAGGTAGGTGGATCTCTGTGAGTTCAAGGCAGGCCTGGTCTACACAGTGAGTTCCAGGACAGCTATGCCTTACAGGGAGTCCCTGTCTCAAAAAAGAAAAAAAAAAAAAAAAGCTGGGTGTGGTGACGCACACCTTTAATCCCAGCACTCAGGAGGCAGAGGCTGGTGGATCTCTCTGAGTTCAAGGCCAGCCTGGTTTCCACATAGTGAGTTCCAGAACAGCTGGGGCTACAGGGAGACCCTGTCTCAAAAAGACCAAAAAAAAAACAGATCCATAAAGATCCCCTGGCACAGGCCTGGGGTAGGCTTGTAGCCCCAGCTACTTGGGAGGCTAATGCAGGAAGACTGCAAGGTCAAGAATACCCTGGGAGTGTTGGAAAGCTGGAAAGATGGCTCAGCAGTTAAGAGCACTGGCCGTTCTTCCAGAGGACTGGTCAGGTATGTTCCCCACATAGTGGCTCACAACCATCAGTAACTCCAGTTCCAGGGGATCTGACACCCTCTTCTGGCCTCCATGGGCACTGCACACACATGGTACACTTACATACAAACACTCAAACACATAAAATAAAATTAATTCTTTTTAATGATTTATTATTTTATGTGTATGTTTTGGATGCATGTAAGGGCACCTGTATCATACAAACCCCATGGAGACCAGAAGAGGGCATTGGATGCCCTGAAACAGGAGTTATTGATGATTGTTAACCACAGTGTGGGTGCTGGGAACTGAACCTAGCCAGTGCTGAACAATCTTTCTAGCCCCCAATTAGTTATTTTGTTTTTGGTTTTTTTTTTTGGTTTTGGGGGGTTTTTTTGAGACAGGGTCTCCCTGTAGCCCCAGCTGACCTGGAACTCACTATGTAGACCAGGCTGGCCTTGAACTCACAGAGATCTGCCTGCCTCCACCTCCCAAGTGCGGGGATTAAAGGCATGTACCACCATACCTGGCTAATTATTATTTTTAAAGAATAGGCTAAGATACAGAGCAAGTTCAAAGCCAGTATGGACACACTGGCATTTGTTGCCAAGTTTGATCCCCAAGACCTACTTAGTAGAGGGAGATAAATAACTCTTGAAAGTTGTCCTCTGACTTCCACATGTGTCATGGTATGCACACATACAAATACATTACTTAAAATGTAATAAAAATAAAAAATAGGGGGCTGGAGAGATGGCTCCACGGTTAAGAGCACTGACTGCTCTTGCAGAGGACCCAGATTCAAGTCCCAGCACCCACATGGCAACTACAAACCAACCTTAACTCCAGTTACATGGGAATCTGATGCCCTCTTCTGACCTCCAGGGCATTGCACAACACGGGTGCACTCACATACATGCAGGCAATACACTCATACACATAAAGTAAAAATAATAAATAAAATATTAAAATAAATAAATAAAAAGTAAAAAATAATTTTAAAGGACTGGGGATGTAGCTCAGTGATAAAGTGCTTGCCTAGCATGCCTGAAGCCCTAGGTTCAATCCCCAGTACTGCAAACAAACTAACAAAACAATAACATTCCCTGGACAAGTATTGAGAGTCATTTCTGTAAAAGATCCTCACATCTAACTTCCCAGACTCCCCAAGGCTACTGCACGGCCTCCTTTGAAAGGACAATTCCAGGGGGAGAAAAAAACCTGTTTTCTCCACTGAGGAGAGCTTTCTTAGGTTCACAGCACACCACCCTTCCGCCCTCCCATCTGACTTTCAGGCTACCAAGTCCTGGTCTCACATTTCTCTCCTTTCTCCCCAGCCTCAGGCACTGCTCAGCAGGCTGGGGGCTTCTCTGCTCCCCTTCAGTCTAGCTTTGCTATTTGGACCCTAACAACACCTATTTCCCATGACCTTAACAGGACAGGGAGCCTCCAAGCACCGAGTCAAGCATTGCCATAACTCAAGAACAGAAGGAACTCAGAACCCTTCAGTAGAAGAAGAGGGCCAGGTTACCCAGAGTCCCAGAAAAACCTGGCAGCTTCCTCAGGCCAAACCATTATCTCTAAACTCCCAAACACTAATTGTGGCTATCAGCGACACCTGGTGGCCAACTGACCAACCGACCAGGCCAAAGAGAAATCAAAGGGAGCTGGGGACAGAAAGACAAACAGGAGGAAGTATCAAGCACAGAACAGAAAAGGGCTTCCTCAAACACCAACCTAATGGGATTTCATTCCCTCTCTAGTTCCAAGGAATAAAATTCTCCCAAGTGGGAACAGAGGCCAAATTAAGCAGGGTCCTAAGGGTCAATTTCAGACTCTTCCCCATTCAGATCAGTTCTCCCTCTCCAACTCCAGCTAGATAGCTGTGTCCTACCCTGCCGTTCCCTCACACCTTTGTCATCTGTTACCTATCCTCACTTACAGCTGAAATTTTTAATTATCGGGGGGGGGGGGAACGAGGGGAACTTCTACAACCCAGCATACCTCCCAGGGGCCAGTATCTGCCCAGCCCCACCCCTTTTTGCAGTATTGGGGATTAAACACTAGACAACACTGTACTGATGGTCTGTATCTCTAGCCCTTCCCTTCTCTCTTGATCCCAATGCTAAAGAATGAATGTTTCTTAGGAAGAACACATGGACTAGGCCCCATGTCCTTCCCCCTCCTCAGACACTGCTCAGTGGTTGATGGGACACCTCATCCAGCAGCTGGTCCATTTCTTTGCTTCCCTCTGTGGCACCTGACCCCTTGACAGATTGCCTGAACTCACTGTTTCTACTTGTCCTCCTCCCATTCTCTTGGAAATCCTCTCTGCAATAGCCTTTCCGCCCACTGTGACTTAGAAGTGCACTTGTTCGGATCACCCCCGCTGCCAAACTGGATAGCCAGTTCTCAGTCCTCATTTTATTTGCCCTTTTAGCAGCCTATGCCTCAGGACAACTCCCCCTTCCTTCAAAAGCCATTTTCACTCGGCTGCCAGTCTGCCATCATCTCCCTGATGGGTGGACACTCTTGTGCCCCAAGATGTGGTGCTCAGACTCCTCTCTCATACATTATCTGGATTTATAAATGCTATGGGGGAAGCCAGGCATGGTGGCACACACCTTTAATCCCAGACTTGGGAGGCAGAGGTAGATGGATCTCTGCAAGGTTGAGGCCAACTTGGTCTACATAGTCAGTTCCAGGCCAGCTGGGGCTACAGGAAGACCATGTCTCAAAAAACAAAATAACAACAACAACAAAATGGTGGGGGGAGGTGGCGAATTGGCCCAGCAGTTAATAGTGCACACTGCTCTTACAGAGGACTTGAATTTGGTTTCCAGCACCCAAATTAGGCAGCTTGCAACTGCCTGTACCTCCAGCTCTGGCAGATCCAACACCCTCTTCCAGCCTCCATGGGCACCTGCATTTACATGCCCATTCCCAGACACAGACAAACATATATACATATAATTAAGATAAAATAAAACCTTTTAAACTGGGCATGGTGACAAATGCCTTTAATCCTAGCACTTGAGAGGCAAAGAGATTAGGCCAACCTGGTCTATATAGTGAGTTCCAGGCCAGCTGGAGCTACAGGGAGACCCTGTCTCAAAAAAGCAAAAAAAAAACAATAAATAAATAAATAAATAAAATTTTTCTTTTCTTTCAAGACAGGGTCTCAGGGCTGAAGAGATGATTCAGTGGTTAAAGAGCATTGGCTGTTCTGGCAGAAGCCCCAGTTCAAATTCCAGCACCCACATAGCAGCTAACAACTGTCCATAACTCCAATTCCAGGGGATCCAGCAGCAGCATTGCAGGACATGGGTGCACTTACCTACATGCAGATAATACACACATACACATAAAATAAATAAAATATATTTTTTTAAAGGCAGGGTCTCGCTATGTAACCCTGGCTGGCTTGGAACTTGCTATATAGACAAGGCTGGCCTGGAAATCACAAAGATCCACCTACTTCTGCCTCCCCAGTGCTAGGATTAAAGGTGCACATGCCTATGCCCAGAAAATCTTTTTTAAAATAAAATTTGGGGGTATGGCTCAATGGTAGAGCACTTTCCTAGCATGTGCAAGGCCCTGGGTTCAATCCCCAGCACCAAATCAAAAAGGAAAAAAACCCTCTACCTTCTTCAGCCAAGACCTTTCTTCAGGATTCCATGTTATCAAACTTCCCAGATTGTATCACTGCTTGAAAATCCAATGGGAATCTATCTCCTCCCACTCACCTGCTTTTCCCATACTCTTCTCTGTCTTGGTTGATGGCAATTCAAGTATAAATGCCAGGCTGACAACCAGGCATCATCCCTAACCCCTCGTTTTCTCTTAACTCAAATCCCGTCTATTGGCAAATGTGCACTGGCTTTCTAAAACCAGGAGCCCTTCTCTATCTACACGGGAGCCACCAACTGGTCCCAATGAACAACATCCCTTGCCTGGATTGTCTCTCAAGGGTCTTGAACAGGTCCCCCTGCCTCTCTACTCCAAGCCCTACAGTCAGCTATCAACAGAGCTGACAGTGATCTTTTTCAAACACAAGTGACCAGTGTTTCTCTGCTCAAACCCTGCGATAGTCCCACGTTTCTTTCAAGGTTAAAAAAATAAATAAAAGTCAGTCTTCTATCATCGCCTACAGGGGATTCACCCTCCTACGCTCACTCCTCTCGGACCTCATTTCCCAGAAGTGTGTCCTTCCTCACTTCTTCCAACTACATGAAGGACTGGAACACAGTAGGCTAATCCTCACCTCTGGCCTTGGCACCAGCTAGCTGTTCCCTGTTTACAGTTTGCTCCCTGGTCTTCCTCAAGTCCTGTTCAAACAGCACCTGGGAGGACTTTTCTAACCATCCCATCAAAAATCGACATCCCAACTCAACAAAGCATTCCTTAACCACTTTCTCACAGGTCACGTGATGTATGATATGTATTTTACTTAATTTGCTTAGGTCTTGTCTCGCTACAATGTCACTTTGTTCAATCCTAAGTCTAAACTACTATTTATATAGCTAGTACATACTCAACAAAAACGAACTGGATGAACAAGGAACACTTGCAAACAGTTGCACTGATTATTTTATAAAGCCCAATCGCCATCCAGTGGTTCGCGACGCTCTAGGACCGGGTGATGTTAGCCCCTAGCCTCTTCTGCCACTTCCCATCCTGCCTCCCTCCAGCCAGCTTGCTTCCCATGGCTCAGGGAACGCTCCTTTGCACGTGTCCTCCCCTCCACCTGCAACGCTTTCTTCCAGTGCAAGACGGCAGGCGAAGAGCCTTAAGAGTCAAAAGTCCCTCCCCAGGTTTCGGACCCTCTCGCGGCAGAACACCCTTCCACCTCGTACCTGATTAGGTATGCCCATTACACTCCAGCTGTAAGTCCGGCGTCTGCCACTCAGTTGACCCCTGACCTGTTAGCACCCGCCCCTGGAGCCCTCATCCTTTACGTGACGGAGGGACACTTCCTGTCTAGGAGCCAATCAGTGGGCCCGCGGTCGCCGGACAGGCGCAAGGCAGGAGGCTTCGTTTCCGGCTTAGGATCAGGGTTTGGGGAAGGGGCCGTAGGCGCCATGTCGGGCCGCGAAGGTAAGTGTGCTGGGGACTAGGGGACGAGTAAACGGGGAACCGCGAGGCGGGCGACGGATGGTGGGGACGGGCCGAGTGTGCTTGTGTCGCCCGCAGGTGGCAAGAAGAAGCCCCTGAAACAGCCCAAGAAGCAGGCCAAGGAGATGGATGAGGTGAGGGCAGACGCGGAGGCGCGGGCGGGCGCGGAGGGCCTGGGCGGGCGGCTTGGAGTGAAGCTGTTCTAATTTTCCGCAGGAGGATAAGGCTTTCAAGCAGAAACAAAAAGAGGAGCAGAAGAAACTCGAGGAGCTGAAAGCGAAGGCCGCGGGGAAGGGTCCCCTGGGTAAGAGCGCCGAGCGGGGACCAAGGCTCCTAGCCAGGGTGGGAATCGGGACAGGTGTGTTTCCCGCCTCCTTGGTGGACTTCAGGGTCCTGGGATCTGGCCAGTCTGACTTTAGGGTGTGGGAGTGAGAACGCCAAGCCTCTAGCCTTCTGTTCGCTAGGGAAGCTACAGAAATGGAAACAGGAAAGTTTACACCAGATACGCGTATAGTTAGGTTACTTGATACCCTACACCATTTTTTTATTGCATTTATTTATTGCTGTGTGTGTTGATGCATGCCCGCCGTGGCGCACATAGGAAGGTAGGAGGACAATTTACACCATGTGGACCCCAGGGAACTGAACTCCGGTTCTCAGTCTTGGCGGCAAGCAACTTTACCCACTGAGTCATCTCTCCCACCCGGTCCACAATTTCTTGCTTATTGTTTGTAACATTATTCGACCTTTTACTTGCTACCCACATTATCTGTAATGAGTGATAGCTGAGTCCTGAGTCACTTTCGGGTGTGTCTAGACTAAAAGATAACAGTCCCCTCCTTGGGAATATATTTTCTCCACATGCTTTATTTCCATTTTTGGATGTGCTGGAGTTCGAACCCAGGGTTTCATTCGTGCAAGGCAAACCTCTACTAACTGGACTACATTCCATTCCCCCCCACATACACACACAGCTTTGCCTCTTACAGGACTAGCAGTCTAACAGCTCTAATACTGTCTGTCTTATTTATTTACTTATGTATTTTTATATGCCCCACGTGCCTTTTGGGGAGGGGTTCTTTTAGAGACAGGGTTTCCCTGTAGCCCCAGCTGGCCTAGATCTCACCATGTAGACCAGGCTGGCCTGGAACTCACAGAGATCTGCCTGTCTCTGCCTCCTGAGTGCTGGAACTAAAGGCATGTACCACCATGCCCACCTTCATGTGCTTTTTAAAAAATATTTTGTGTGTGTGAATGTATTGCCTGCATGTATGTAAGTGTGCCCATGTCGTGAAATGCTGGTGAAGGTCAGAAGAGGGTGTTGGAGTTCCCTGGAACTGGAGTTACTCAGTTGTTAACTGCCATGTGGGTTCTGGGAATCGAACCAGGGTCTTCTGCAAGATCACCCTGTGCTCTCAACCACTTAGCCATCTCTCTATCCCCAATATTATTTTTGTTTTTGAGACATGTCCTTGTTAGGTTACTCAGGCTGGTCTTGGACTCATGATTCTCCTGCCTTTGCCTCCAGGTAGCTTAGATTACAGGCCTGTGCCACCAGCCCATCTTTATTTGCTTCATAAAAATACTGTGTGAGGTGGTCACACTAGTGATTGTTTCCTCTAGTTCTCTATGCCCTATCTGTGTACTATGGGCTACATAAGGGCATGGTGGAGACAAAGATGCTGGAGCTGTCAGCCAAAGACTTCTGTTCCAGTGGGTTTGAATTCTTGTTTATCCACACAGCACTGAGATTCTAGCTACTGAGATGGCTTTTCAAAATGATGTCAGGTATCTTGTACCTTCTTTAATCTGTGATATGTATAGAGAAGACAAACCTTGGGGAAATCCTGTACAGATAGAGCATCTATAATATGAAAATCCATAATGCACCAAAATCTGAAGTGTTTTAAGTACCAACCTGGCACAAAATTCTATGCCTGGCTTTTGGTGATGAGCTGCAATCAAAATGCAGATGTACTAGAAATATTATATATAGTTACCTTCAGCCTATATGCATGAAGGGTACATGAAACATAAATGAATTTTGTGTTTAGAATTGGGTACCAGGGGCTAGAGAGATGGCTCAGCAGTTAAGAGCACTAGCTGTGGTTTTTTTTTTTGCAGAGGACCTGCGTTTGGTTCCCAGCATCCACATGGCTGCTAACAACGGTCTGTAACTCCAGTTCTAGGGGATCTGAGGCTCTCTTCTGACCTCCACAGGCACTGCACAACACAGGTGCACTTACATACATGCAAGCAGTACACTCATACATAAAATATTTTTTAAAAAAATTGGGTCCCATCCCCAAGATCTCTAATGGATATGCAAATATCCCCAAACTCCTAAACACATCTGTTCACAGGATTTCTAATAAGGGATATCCAACAAGTACTGCTTCTCGTTGAATATTATCTGGGGTTTCTTGTTTGCTTCTTTGGCTTTGTTTTGGTTTTGTTTTTTTGTTGTTGTTGTCTTTTTAAGACAAGGTTTCCCTGTAGCCCCCACTGGCCTGGAACTCACAGAGAACTGGAACTCAATATGTAGACCAGGCTGGCCTCGATCTTATAGAGATCTGCCTGCCTCTGCCTCCCAAGTGTTGGTTCCTTTGTTTTAAACAGTTTTCTGATATAACCCAAGCTGGCCTTGAACTTGATCCTACTGCCTTATCCAAGTGTTCATTTGGTTTTGGTTTTAGTTTTAGTTTTGTTGTTGTTGTTTGGGTTTTGGAAGGTTTTTTTGGTTTTGGTTTTGGTTTTTGAGATAGGGTCTCCCTATAGCCTCAGCTGGCCTGGAACTCACTGTGTAGACCAGATTGGCCTCGCTCACAGAGATCTGCCCACCTCTGCCTCCTGAGTACTGGGACTAAAGACTTATGCCACCAAACTGGCTTTAGATTTTTTTTTTTTAAGATTCATTTTGTCACAGTCCTTTGTACTTTCATTCTTATATTAGGCATAATCAGTTCTACAACTGTATTCTTAATTATCTACTGGTTACCAAATCAATTGGCCTAAGTTGAGTAAATTAAAGGCATTCAGTAAACCAGGAATATAAGATGGGATGTAATGCACTGTAATGTGGTGCACGCCTTTAGTCCCACCACTCAGGAGGCAGAGGCAGGCATTTCTCTGAGATCAAGGCCAGCAGGGGCTACAGAGAGACAAACAAGAAAGAATATGCTAGGGCCTTGTGTAGTGGCACACACCTTTAATGCCAGCATGGGAGACGGAGGTAGGCCCTCTCTGGTCTACATAGTGAGTTCCAGGCCAGCTGGGGCTACAAGGAAACCCTGTCTCAAAAAGACAAAAAATAGGGCTGGAGAGATGGCTCAGTGGTTAAGAGCACTGACTGTTCTTACAGAAGACCCGGGTTCAATTCCCAGCACCCATATGGTGGGTAAATGTGTGTGTGTGTGTGTGTGTGTGTGCGCGTGTGTGCGTGCGTGCGCGCACGCATATGCTGGGCAATGGTTCATTTGGTAAAGTGCTTGCCAGGTAAGCATGAGGACCTGAGTTGGATTCCTATTACACTCATAAGAAAAGTCAGGCACGTAACAATCCCTATACTGGGTTGTTGTTGCAGGAAAATTAATCAGCTAAGCCATGGATTTTACAGTAGTGTAGTTGAGTGGTGCCGTGCTGTTACCTTGCCCTGCTTCAACCCTCTTCTGCGTTTGCCTGGAAGAGATAATAAAGGAACTGTGCATGTTTGTGTCAAATACCTGGAACAGTATTTACAAGATGGGAAATACATCCAGCCAGTGAGGCTTTTTAGCCATAAAAACTAGACTTTTCCCTAATCAACTTTTCTTTTTGCAGCCACAGGTGGAATTAAGAAATCTGGCAAAAAGTAAGCTCTTCATATTCCTGAGATGATGGTGACCCTCTTGCATTCCTATTTAAACATCTGGATTCCCTGCCATAACATCTTTTGCCACCTATAGCTAGAATAAAGTGATGTCCTGGAGCCTGTTGTACATTGTAATAAACTTTTGTAAAAAAATTATACAATGGCTCACTGTCTCTAGTTTCCATTGAGCTTACCCCTACCTCAGAATTTTAAGTAAATCCAGCCTGGAATCCTGACAGAGCCTGTTGTTCCATCTTAATTGTACTTTGAATTCTGTATCATCTTGAATTAAACAAACTCATTTAAAAGGCTATCATTCTTGTGTGGTTGTATATCTTAATGGAATATTTACCTGAGGTCAGTGGAAGGAATTATACTTTGGAAAGAAAACCACCTGTCTTTCATGATATTCAAGTTGCCATATGTTTGTTTGTTTGTTTAAAGCTACTTAATTCAGGCAGAGATGGGAAGTGCCTAGAGTAAGTTGGTGCTAGACTAGCCTTCTATGTGAGCTCTTGGGAGAACCTGCCTCAATGAGTAAGATGGAGAAGAGTCCCAATGTTGACCCAGGGCCTCCACATGCATTCACACACTCTCATATACATTTGAACAAACAACACACATGGTGGGCAGGCAGGAGAACCCAGTGATTCTGCAAAACTATAACTCAACTCATTCTTGGCTTGGAATTCTTCAGTGACTTCTTAATACAAAAGCCACTAAGGGTCTGGATGCCAATCCTTTCCATTTGATTGACCCTCTAGCCATCTTTGGCCAGTGTGGCCTGAATTGAAGACAAGCTCCTGCTTCACTGTGTTTTCACTAACTCTTCTGCCTTTCCTTTAGAAAACAAACTCCTCCCAGTCCAGCGGTGCAGATCTGAAATCCCAACTACTTGGGAAGCTGAGGCAGGAGGACAACTGAAGGCATGCCTGGGGTAACTTGCCTAGCACATGTGAAACCTTAGATTCAAGCCCCAGTTCTTGGGGGAAAAAAAAAGACCTGATCACAGTATGTAAAGTAGCATTTCTTGCCAGATGTTATCAGCCACTCCAACTACAAAGTAAACACAAGGAGAATAGAAAATAATCTTGTTTAGGAAGGAGGAAGTTGTAGCCCAGACTGACCTGGAACTCCTTATATACACTGGACAGGCCTTGAAATTAGAATCCTTTGGTCTCAGCCTTTCTAGTGCTGAGATTATATGTGTATGCTGACATGCCCAGCAATGTGACTATTTTAGGGGGAATAGGATGCTGGAAATCAAACCCAGGGTCTTGAACATGCTAGGCGAGTACCACTGTGCTAGATCCAATCCCCATAAATTGAGTCATAAGGTTTGTAAGGTTGTTAGCTGCCATGTGGGTCCTGGGAACCGAACCCAAATCCTCTGCAAGAGCTGCCGGTTACCGCTGAGCCATGTCTCCAGCCCTCCTTGAACTCTTCCCTATATAACCAGCGTTCCAGATAGAAACTCCTTCCTGCCCTCTCAGAAAAAAATGTCACTAGTCCAAGTAGTCCCCACACAGTACACGGTTCTCGAGATCACCCTTCCCAGACACTTCTCAAATACACATACTTGAACCATTTGCTATTCTGGAAGATGCCTGCTCATAGCAGTTTAATTCCTACTCCCTTCGAGAGTCTCTGGATAGGTCACAAACACCCCTCAATGCTGCCTGCCTCGATTCAAGCGCACATGCGTGAATCTCAAGGCAAACGGCACTCCGAGGCTCTGTATTGCACGCCATGCCAGGGAGGACTGCCACAGGAGCTGTGTGGCAGACCTCCTAGATCCCGAAACCTGGGTAATCCTAGTAGCAACGCACGAACCCCAGGTGGCTGGCGTCAGGGACAGGGCTGGTCTGAGCACAGGCAGGCAGGAATCAGCATAGTGGCGTCATTCTTCTGCGCCCGCTAGCTGGCAGCTGATTGGTTCGTGGCTCGGGGGCGGGGCGCTAGTTGCTGAGGCGCGTGGTGGCGCGCGGGCTGTTGGTACTGCTCTAGCCTGCGCAGACTCAGCTGTGCTCCGGACTGAGACGCCGGGTAGGAAACGATGGCTGCGACACCCGGCGCGAACAGCAGCAGGAGGCTGAGCGAGCCCCCGGCGCCTCTCCCTGGTCTATCGCACGGCTTCGGGAACCCTCCGATCAAGCGGGCCCGAGGCTTCCCGGAGGCCGCGGACCCCGAAGACCCGTTCGACGAGCACGCGGAATTCACTGAAGACGACCTAGAGGAACTCGACATCCTCGCGTCACAGGCCCTTAGCCAGTGTCCGGCCGCGACCCCGAACTTGTCCAGTGAGTGCTTTGGGGCCTTCTTCCCGGCAGGCGCTGCAGACCCCTTCAGGAGGCTTTGAAATGCTGCGGCCAGCGCGGCCCCGGTGTCTGGCACTGACGTTACCTTTCCTCTTAAAATGAAGGAGCACCCTGATTTAAGCTGCGGTTGTGTTCCAAAAGGTCCTTTGATTTGGGGATTTAAAAAAAAAAAAAATTCTAGAATGTCAGGCACCCAATTTGAAATATAAACAGCTATGCTATTATTTAACTTTCTTTTTTCTAAGGTTTAGATCACAATGTTATCAGACATCCTTGGAGCATGACTACCACAGCTGTCAGGACCATCACAACCCATGTGAGAGAGTTTAGATTTTTATACAGCCAATACTCTGTGCTAGTTGCCCAAAGGTTAGGAATGGCAGTGGCCCTGGCAATGAGCAAAAAATACAAAAAAACCCTTCCTTCCTGGAGCTCACATTCTAATTGGGGAATGAATGGGACCTATTATGAACCATCAGAAGGGTTTTACTGTCGCCTTCATCTGTACTTAGCACTTTTTTTTTTTTAATGTGTATGAGTGTATTGCCTGCATGTAGGTAAGTGCACCTGTGTTGTGCAGTGCCCACGGAGGACAAGAGGCTGTCGGATCCCCTGGAACTGGAGTTACGGGCAGTTGTTAGCTGCCATGTGGGTACTGGGATTCGAACCTGTATCTTCTGCAAGAACAGCCAGTGTAAGAACCACTGAGCCATCTCTCCAGCCCCTGTGCTTAGCACTTTTAAAACATCTTAAAAACATGCTCATTCCTGGAAACCCTGTCCTCTAGCATCTGCAGCAGATTGCCTGGCAAATCAGACATTCAGAAAATACTCATTGATAACCTCATGTTCTATATGGCAGTGATTAGCACCACTCCCCATCCAATGACACAAGGCTGCTTCTCTTTCCTTGGCCCTACATCATTTGTCATCCACTTTACCTTAATCCATCTCTGGGAGTCCCACCTCCCCTATAAAGGACTGTTTATTTTGTTCATTAGTGTGTCTTTTAGAGACTAGCCGATACAACGCCTAGCATATTGCATGTGCTTAATAAATACTGTTAATAATATCTCATAGCCAGTGACATCTCCTTTAAGCCTTTAGCTAAGACTCTTGAAATTAGGATCATTTATGAGTTTATATCATGTTCTTAGGTTTGAAAATACTGATATTGTTTACTAGGTCTTTATTTCACGTGTATGAGTGTATTGCTTGCATGTATGTAAGTGCACCTGTGCCATGCAATGCTGGTGGAAGCCAGAAGAGAGCATTAGATTCCCCTGAAAATGGAGTTACGGATGGTTGTTAGCTGCCACGTGGGTGCTGGGGATTGAACCTGGGTCCTCTGCAAGAGCAGCCAGTGCTCTTAACGGCTGAGCCATCTCTCCAGCCCCCCTTTCTGCATTTTATGACAAATGTGGGGAAAAAAATGGATCCTGAAATGTGTATGGAATTTTTTTTTCTAGACAAGGTCTCACCATGTAACCAGGGTATCCTTGAACTTGAGATCCCTCTGCCTCAGTATCCCCAGTGTTGGAATTACAGTTACATGTCACCATGCTCAGCTTAATAGGAATCGTTTTTTATACAGGTGTTCACAAGATCCGCCGATTAGATGGGTTACCAAAAAGTCCTGCAGGAAAAAACAGAGAAAATGTACCAGTTAAAGATAATTTCGAATTAGAGGTACTTCAGACACAATATAAAGAACTTAAAAAAAAGGTATGTAAAGTGAGGTTTCTTGTTGTTTGGTTGGATTTAGTGTTGAAAATTGAACCCAAGGCTTTGCATAAGCATCTAGAGTCATCCTCCTGAAATGAGAGAAGGCTGGGAAAAGAATTCCTGAAACTTTAGACTGAAACAAACTAGTAAGATTCATAGGAATAGGTCAAGAAAAAGATACATTGTATATCAGATCCAGAAGAAGATAAAAACTGTTAAATGGCTGTTAAATTCAGTGTTGAAGCACTGAAATGAATTAATAGCATATGTCTTTCAGGTTTTATGTATGTGTGCACGTGCACGCATGTGTATGTATGAGTGCATTGCCTGCTTGTCTGTAAATGCACCCATGTTGTACAGTGCTGGTGGAGGTGAGAAGAGGCGTCAGATTCCCTTGGAACTGGAGTTATGGACAGTTGTTAGCCACCATGTGGGTGCTGAAAATTGGACCTGGGTCGTCTACAAGGGCAGTCAGTGCTCTTAACCACTGAGCCATATCTCCAGCCCCTTTAGTTTTATTTTTTATTGTAATTTTTAAATTAATTTTAATGGTTTAAAAAAGTCAAGTCTAGCCAGGTGTGGTGGTGCACGCTTTGATCCCAGTACTTAGGAGGATCTGTGAGTTCAAGGCCAACCTGGTCTACATAGTGAGTTCCAGGCCAGCTAGAGACCCTGTCTCAGAAAAGACCAAAAAATTAAAGTCTAAGCTGGGCATGGTGGTACATGCCTTTAATCCCAGCATTTGGGAGGCAGAGGCAGGTGGATCTGTGAGTTCACAGCCAGGCTAGTCTGCATATCAAGTTCTAGGCCAGCTGGGACTGTAGGGAGACCCTGTCTCAAAAAGACCACCAAAAAAAAAGTCTACTCCTCCCCAGTTTCATGTGGCTTTTGTTGTTGTGTGTAATTTTTCACTCAGTCCACTCACCACTGCCAGTATGTGTATGGGTGTAGAGCCATGTACAAGACGAGTTCCAGGCCAGCTGAGACTATAGGGAGACCCTGTCTCAAAAGGACCAAAAAGAAAAGAAATAAAGCAGATATCTTTCATGGCCATCTGTAGGTGCCTAAGAAAATCAGGAACAGAATATGGAATTTTAGTTCTATGAACAGTATGGCCCAGAGTGTTAAATGCCTATTAGAGCCTTAAGAATCTACATGTGTAAATGACAAGTGTACTCTTGACCTATTCTTGCTAAATATCAGCTATTTGGGGGGAATTTACAGCTAAAAGCAATGGAAGAAGAAGTCCTAATTAAGAATGGAGAAATTAAAATTTTACGTGACTCACTGCATCAGACAGAATCCATTCTAGAAGAACAGAGAAGATCACATTTCCTTCTTGAGCAAGAGAAAACTCAAGCACTCAGTGAAAAGGAAAAGGAGTTCTCCAAAAAGGTAACCTAGAGCATTTGTTTTGCATGCTGTGGACAGTAGCCTTGTCTGTTCTGAGTTCCTTTAGAAGCAATAACCAGTGTTGCCTGTAAATCTTGCAGGAAAGTTTCAACAATTGTTTTATCTTTCTGCTGTTAGTGAATGATGTGCACCTTTCTTCCAGGGTCTACAGTTTGGCATGGAAGGGGACTAAGGTGAAACTGCTTTGTTGTGATTATTAGTCTTGGCATGAATAAAATTACTAGCTTAGAATTTCAAGAAAGAGATTTGAATTAGGGCTCTTTGATAGATCAGCAATTCAGTTGAATTAGCTTAGGCCAAAAGAAAATATATTAGCTTGCATACCCAAGTCTGGGGCAACAGGGGTGTCTAAGGGCTTCAAATGACCTAACCCTTTACCAGGACACATTTTGATTCTCTGTATTACTGAGACCTGTTGCTCTCTGGCAGCAGTGTGTTCTGACTGAAGTTGGGGCTCACATTCACATGTTTCAAAACTCCAGAGTACAGTTTAAACTTGAGCTTCCTCAGCTGACAGTGGTTCTGGACATTTGCAATCCAAACACTGGGGATGCTGGAGCAGGAAGATTACCATGATTTCAAGGAAGCTCTGAGCTGCATCCTGAAACCCTGTTCCAAAAAAATAAAAGACTTAGGCTCTTTGATCTCAAAGGATTTTTTTTTTTTTTGGTCTTCTTGAGACAGGGTCTCCCTGTAGCCCCAGCTGTCCTGGAACTCACTATGTAGACCAGGCTGGCCTTGAATTCACAGAGATCCGCCTGCCTCTGCCTCCAGAGTGCTGGAATTAAAGGCGTGCGCCACCACACCTTATCTCACCACGCTCATCTCAAAGGTTTTTGGTTGGTTGATTGGCTGGGTTTAGGTTTGAGTTTTGGTAGGGTCTTTTTTTGTTTTTGTTTGTGGGGTTTTGGTTATTTATTTATTTATTTATTTAATTGTTTATTTATACATGTATGAGTCTTTTCCCTGCATGTATGTAAGTGCACCCATGTCACACAAAGCCCACAGAGGCCAGAAGGTGTCAGATCCCCTGGAACTGGAGTTACGGGTGGTTGTTAGCTGACATGTGGGTGCTGGGTGTTAAACCTGGGTCCTCTGCAAAAGCAGCCAGTGCTCTTAACCACTGAGCCATCTCTCCAGCCCCCGTTTTTGTTTTTTTGAGAGGGAGTCTCACTATGTAACTCTGGCTGACCTGGAACTCACTATGTAGACCAGACTAACCTCAAACTCCCAGAGATCCTCCTGCCTCTGCCTCCCAAGTACTGGGATTAAAGGCATATGCCACCATGTCAGCTCCAAGTGTTAAAATTTTGAAAAGGTTTGCTGGCTGGTCTCAGTTAAGTCAGGTGCCAGTCTCTGAACCAGGTGTTGAAACCAAAACGATGATAGCTACCATTTGAATCCTGCGGTCAGGGTTGGAAAATGACTATTTACCAGGGAAAGGGAGATGATGTTTTAGGAAGAACAATGGAAGGTATCCAGTGTGTCTACCACTTTCCTTTAGCATGTCCTCATGTTTCAGATGTAAGGACATTGGTCTCTCTCTCTCTCTCTCATAGTTATTTCATACAGTGTAAGGCAGCAGTGCAGTGAGCAGTAACTAGAGTCGTGCTTGCCTCCATTCAGCGAATCTTATATATGCCCTTGCTTAAGCCCACCACAGAAGGGTTGTTAGGAAACCCAAACATATTTTTTTTCCCTGAGGTGATCTCATAAAGCCCAGGCTGGCCTTGAAGTCAATTTGTAGTCAAGGATGACCTTAAACTTCTGATCCTCCTACCTCTGCTTCCTGAATGCTTGCATTGCAGGTATAATTGCATTCCCTGTTTATGCTGCAGATCAAACCTAGGGCTTCGTGCTTGCTAGTCAAGCACTCTACCAACTAAGCCACAGATTCCTTTTCTTCTAGTTAGTCCCTCCCTCTGCTTTCCTATTACATGTTTCCCATTATTCTCTATTTCCCAACTTCCTTAGGTTCTCTTCCTCCCTCTCATGGTCCTGTTTCTAGTTTTATGACTTAAAGAACACATATATATATAAATACACATGCAACTTTAAACCTAGGCTCCACATACGAGAGAAAACATGTATTTGTCCTCTGAATCTGGCTTATTTTGTTCACCATAATGATTTCCAGTTGTATCCATTTTCCTACAAATGCTATGACTTTATCTCTTCTTTATGACTGCATTGAATTCCATTTTTTAGATGTGCATTTTCTTTATCCATTCATCTGTTGCTAGACATCTAAGCTTGTTCCATTTCCTGACTATTGTGAATAGTACAGCCGTAACATGGATGTGCAACATCACCAAGGGATGTTGACTTAGAGTCTTTCAGGTATATATCCAAGTGTGATATAACTGTGTCATTTGATAGTTCTATTTTTAGTGTTTTTAGGACTCTCATACTGATTTCTATAGTGGCTATACTAGTTTACATTCCTCCGAGAAGTGTATCATCAGTATTTGTGTTTTGGTTTTGGTTTTTTTTTTTTTTTTTTTTTTTTTTTGTCTTTAGGAGACAGGGTCTCCCTGTAGCCCCACCTGGCCTGGAACTCACTATGTAGACCAGGCTGGCCTTGAACTCACAAGAGATCCATCTGCCTCTGCCTTCCAAGTGCTGGGATTAAAGGTGTGAGCCACCACGCCCAGCTCCATTTTTATTTTTTTAACTTAAGCTTTTTGGGTTTTTTTGTTTTTTTTTTTAATTTTATGTGTCTAAGCTTTCCCCTGTAGCCCCAGCTGGTGGTGTGGAACTGAATATATAGACCAGGCTGGCATCCATCTCACAGATAACTGCCTGCCTCTGCCTCCCCAGTGCTGGGATTAGAAGTCATGCACCACCACACCTGACTCTCCTCTCTCTTTTTGGAAACTTGTTTTTAAATTAGCATACAGAATAATGGGCTTCCTTAGGGTATTTCCATACACACTTTCTTAGTTTTTGAGCCAGGGTTTCAAGTAGGCCACATTGGCCTTGAGCTTGCTACATAGTCAAGCATAACTTTGAACTGATCCCCATCCCTCGACCCACTGCTTGCTCCTACTGTGTCCGTCCCCCTCTTGTTGGTCCCTGTCCTCCCCCTTGCAACCCATTCTCTTGGACACTTTTCCTGTTTCTCTCCTTACCTCTTTGTGTTGCTCTTCTGAAAAATTCTTTAGGACGATATGGGTGTTGTCCAGGGTCTTCTGTGTGACTTATGAAAGTCTTCAAATCATCACAGTTTCTCTAAGAAAAATTGTGACCAGTGTGAGTTTACATCCATACATTGGCATTGTCAACTACTTCTTGGTAATG